AGTCATTAGTTTCAATTTTACCGGTATTAGTGCTGTTGTTACTGTTATTAGTGCAAATTGTTACTGATTGCAGCCATCATCTTCTGGATCACTGGCCATTTGATTCTCCCAGTAAATAAACATATTGTACTCCTTATATTTAAACTGCCATTGTTTGACAACTGTTGATCTTGAAAGGTTTGTGTTTTCCTCATTGCGTCATTATCCCATCAGTTTATTGTTTTGGAACATTTCATGAAATTCTTTTACTTTGTTGAAAACAATGAGCTAATTATAAATGTCACAGTAAATACCACATTAAAATAATATTTGTTGCCTCCTTCAATAATTTTTTTTTCTTTATTTTTTTTTCAATGAAAGTTAATAATAATTATTATTGTAAACATGTCTGTATTAATTTTTGGAAAATGCATTTCATTGTGCTATATAAATGACATTGAATTTAATGAGATGGGTATTTATGCAGATGTACAAACAGGTTGACTCATTGTAAAAACTAATGTGCAGAGTTTTCTTACTGAAGCTAATATAACTTAAACACAAGTTTGCCCATAATATATTGCTTAACAATTTTCAGAGAGAAAAATCTGGTGCGGCGCGCGCATCACACAACTTTCACTTACCCACCCTCTTCTCAGAAATAACTAGTTTCAGATAAAGGGAAGTGAAAGTAAAACTTATAAATGTTACGAAACATTATTTAAAAATATTAATTAGGTACTATATGTTTTTCATAGCCGTCTAACGTATTGTATTAATTTTGTTTGACACTATTAATTTCTTTTTTACGACTGTATATTCCAATTATTAATTAGATTATAATAAATAATAAAGTGTTACGAAATATTTTTAGTCCGACTAAATAATAATGCCCTGAATTTCTTTCTGAATATTTTTATTTGTTTAAGTGCCGGTATATACGAGTAGACATTTTGTTTTGGTAAAATAGACAAAATGGCTCACTTGCCGTACTAGTTCCCCCCACCAGTACCGGTATATACAAATTTTAATTTTTATAGCTGTTAATCCATACAATTAAATATTACTAACGATAGTATTTATGAAAACCGCATATATTTATGTTTATTATATTGTCGAAGTCCGCATTATATTAAGCTTATGTTGCGAATATAAGCCTGTTATAATCTTTCGGGTGAGATCGGGAGAGCTCGTATTCCGATAGCAGACTCTACACGGTAATTCATGAATGAACGTCACAAGAAGTGCCAAGATTGCCCGCGATCGCTTTGATCATGAAGACCCTTACACGTTCAATCATTACTGATCATTACTTATCGTTGCTGATACCAATTTAGCTCAGTTGTAAACAAAGAAACAGCATAGATATGCTTATTTGGACATTTTCATTTATAATATTGGGCATCAAGAGAAAAACGGAGATATAATAATTACTTCCTAGTACCTGAAAATCGTTTAGATCAAAGTTAAAAAAATATAAGTCAACTACATACAAAAATCTAGGAAAAGTATTGCGAAAATAATCAATTTGTTAAGAAAAATGGAAAAATTAATGGCAAATAAACACAAAGTTAAAGATTTTTTTTCTATAAGTAAATTGTGAAGTTTCCACTTTTTTTTCTCTTCAATTTATTGCCTACTTGGCTATCTAAAGAAAAAATGGTTAATAATAATATAGACTAGGGATATAAACAACTATTTACTTTTATGAAATTATTTACTTAAACGAGACCTAGGTAAACTAACCTATCTAGTAGTAAGGTTAGTCTCATAGAAAATCGTTTTGACAAAAGTTAGTAAAATATAAGTCTACTACTTACAAAAATTAAGGAAAGGTATTGCGAAAATAATAAATTTGTTGAGGAAAATTGGAAAAGAACTGATAAATATACACAACGTTAAAGTTTTTTTTTTTTCTTAAAATAAATTGTGAAGTTTCCACTTTTTTTTTTTAATTTGTTGCCCATTTTAAGAATTAATTAGTTTGACTATTTTAAAGAAATAGTTAAAGATGGTTTAAAATTATAAACAACTGATATGAAAAATTATTCAACTATTTACATATAATGAAAATCAGAAATTTATAATGGTTGTGAGGCCTAGGTAACCTAACCTATCCAACAGTATGGTTAGTCTCCCCACTACTTTTACCTCAGTCCCCCCTCCACTTCTCGTGAATGAACCTTTGATTTACGGATGTTCGGAAATCCTCCGCGCACCACCATCAGTACTTCATTCACTACCTTACACGATAATTTGGAACGTCATTAGTGCAATTCCGAATGACCTTGTAGGGTCCGCTTACGGTTGGTCCCTCCATTACCACTAAACTCCGTTACGTTTTTTTTTTTTTTTTTTTATACCTTCCCTTCCTCGCCGTTAAGGCTAAACGGGATTTTCCCGGGCTAGGGGATGTGAGCGGGGATTTAAAAGACTCCCCCGGCACCGGGACGCGAATTCGTGTCTATTTTTATTTCTTTGATTCATTATCAGGTTGCCGGGCAACGGCGGTGCAGTGCACACGCGTTAGCCCATACGGTCACTCCGCCCACATATAATATATAGTAAGGGTAAGTGTTGCGATCGTGAAAATTTTGGAATCTCAGTTTTCAACGAAAATACATGTTTTAGGTCCCAGGTCCCCTGAGTTCAATAACTAAGTGTCGCAAAATGGTGCGTGCGTGCCCCTAATGAGCCCCAGAGATACATAAACAAAAATATAGTGTAAGTGAATAGTCAAATTAAAAAAAAATAATAAAGATATTATAAGTTACTTTCAAATTTAAATCAGTTAATAATAAAAGTAAAAAAATTAAAATAAACATAAAGTAAGAATAATGAGGAACAATCTGATAATTTATATATACATATTTACAGTACAATTTCATGGGGCTGGATGGATAAGAAATGATTAAACAGGCGGGTTTTAAAGGTAGGAAGAGTTTTGGATTGACGTATGTCGGGAAGGATGAGGAGCGGATAATGAAAGATTTGTCGAAAGCAGCAGTTTGGTGGGCCCTTATGTATAAATCAGAAGACCGGGAACGAACAGAAGATTTGAATTGAAGGACGGTGAGGATACCTGAAAGAGGAAGGATGCCAGGAAATACTTACGACGGTAGGAAAGATAAAGCCACTTCAACCCTGCATAAAAACGGGAAACAGAGGCGTCCCCTGGGATCTACGAAGATGAATCTTACAAAGCAATTTATCAAACGTTTTAATTTTGCCCCAAGATCCCCATAGACGCCCCCATATACCGCACGGCAATAGTCAAAGTGGAGAAAAATTAAGGAAGTTACTAGGAGTCTACGGGTTTCAAGGAGAAATAGGTGACAGGGAGTAATTTAGATGTTTTAAGGTGGAAATGGTACGGCGGGAGATGGATATATGATTTTTCCAGGAAAGGGTTTGATCAAAGATCATTCCAAGGTTTTTGATGGAAGGATAGAATTTGATGGGATTATCATGTAGGAACAGAGTTGGAATATTAGGAGCAGTTTTAAGGAGGTGATTGGAGCCTATTAAGATTACCTTTATCTTTTCTGCATCCAAATTCAACTTGTTAGCTCTCGCCCAGTCACAAATCCTATCCAAGTCTTCTTGAAGTTTATCTGTGGCTGCTAATAGATAATATGTTTACTCCTAGTTTAAAATAAAAATCATGGAAGTTCATCTAAAGTTAAATAACATTTTAAATACAACTACTGACTTGGGTTTTCATTAAGTATATTTTTGCTAAAGTCATTTTAAATTAAAGTCTGATATTTTTTAAAATAAAAAATTGTTAAAAATTCTATGATGAATTACCTAGTATAAAACTAAAGCTATATATAAATTCATATAATTTTTCTTTATTTATTTGTACAAAATAGCTAACTATTGTAAAAAATTAAAATACATTTAATATGTTTTAATTTCTTTTTGATTATTTCATAATTTATTTCAATTTGTTTAACTTGTTATTTTTTATTGTCATCAAAATGTATCTCAATTTTTCTTCTTTTATATGTAGATCTTTACTGGTACATTTAGGAAATGTGGTGACAGCTATGGTTTTTATGAACTCTTATCTTTTTACATGTCAATAATAATCAGTTTGATTGGCATAAATTTTATTAGATAATCGATTTTAGTTATACCACTACTTTTACATTGGATTAGCATCCTCGAGTGTGAAGTTATTAAAACTTCTGGGAGAAATATTTTGATGCCAAATATTACATTCATGGTGAATTATTAAGTAGATGTCTTTCCGCTGTTCAGTTTAACTTCTAATAAATTTTGTTGTTTTTCACCGACAAAAGTTTATGGAATTCATGTTTTACTGCAATTTATATGCGTGTTCGCATATAGCTAGCTGTGGTTCAGTCTGGTTTAATGAAAAATAAATAAAATGAAATTATAGTTTCTAATTTGTTAAATATCACAATACTTTAAAAATGTGGAATAAAAATGTAAACATTTGTTTGTTCAAAAACTTAAAATCTCCCAAAATTCTTCACTGATGGCTTTAATTTTTTTCTTTCAAAAAAACAGAACCATCATATACTTGATTTAAAATGTGAACACATGCTATAATAAATATTTTATGATACTATTTTGATGTGTCTGATGAATTTACAATTATTTTGTTTGACAATGGGTCAAATATTGTTTTTGTTTTAGCTCCAACAATGTCCAAGAGATGGCATTGTTGGAGCTGCAACAAAAATGAATTTTTACCTACCATGGGTGTATATTTATACACTCCCTTATTCAAATACAACATTCTGTCAAAATTTCAAAGCAATCAATGAAGAATTTTAGAAGATTTATAGTTTTGAAGGTACATTTATGTTCTTATTCCTATAGATTTTAATGAAAATTAACTGAAATGAAAACTGTGTTGATTGTTTTATCGAACAATAAAAGATTAGAGATAATTCAGTTTACAATAGTAAGTTATACTAATCAGGCATGATTTTTTTGTTCTTATATTACTGAGATTTCAATTCATGGTGTCATTTGGTCTGTTACAGTTTTGATCTGAGGTGAAATTGTTGGTAAAGATACTTGGAAATTTATAAGGCAGAAGTGAGTGAATCTCTTACTGCTTAATATGGCTGCTCCAATAAAAAATCAAAAAGTAATATCAGAAACTTCTAGTATTATTTGTTCTTTTTAGTTTTAAATTTTGTAATATTTTATTGTTGATTCCAGAATTTGGCAGCATTAAATGATGATAAAGAACTCATCAACAAAGAACACACTGATACAGCATCAAATATCAGTAGTAACCATTTAAATGCCCCAAAACATGGGACTGTGATTCCTAACAGAGTGTTTGTTGGTGGAATTTCACCTTCAACAACCGAATTAGATTTAGTTCATTTATTTTCCAGCTATGGAAATGTTACTGGCACTAAAATAATTTCTGATCGTGCAGGAGTTTCTAAAGGATACGGGTTTGTTACGTTCGAGACCGAAGAGGAAGCCAAACGTTTACAAAAGGATGTAAGAAAAAAAAACTATTTCATTGTATTGTATTTTTATTCATTAACCTGTATTAATCTATGTAATTTAAATTTCAGGCAGAAAATATCGTATTAGGACAGCGACGGCTGAATATAGCACCTGCCATTAAGAAACAGGTATGATCTATGTTTTTCTAACTTGTGATAGTGTAATTCTTCATTAAATTTAGAAATTAATAATGATTTATTTCAAGTAATTCAACAAAAATTTATATGTTTAAGTAAATAAGTTTTTATTTAGACATTGTGATAGTTAATGACAGTTACTGAATATTTAGAAACATTTTTAAATTCAGTCTGCTCTCTAAATTCTTTCAAAGATTTAAAATGGTCCCTAGTTTAGTTAAATTTCAGAAACGTAGTGTTGTAGACCAAATATTAATTAAAAATATGATTGATAATCTTAATAGTAAAAATGTCCTTATTTTATATAATATATATTTGTCCTATTTATGACAGTTTTACTAATCTGGACTAAATGTACTTTCTATAGAATGCACATAGTACTATATTATGGAAAAAAAATATTGCGTAAATAAACCTTTTTCTTAAACTTAATATTATTTTAATACTACATAACTTATGCGAAAATCTCTGTTTTCAACATACAAACTGTGATCAGGTTAACAAAATAATATATCTGTGTATTGTTTAATTTATTTATTGTTTAATACCACTACAAAAAATAAAATATAAATCCCAGAGTTGTTCTTGTATCTACTGAAACACACTGTTTTAGTATAACAGAAGAAACAGTTTGGTATTAGCTAAAAATTAATGTATGCTTGTTTAACTACGACTAAACTAAACATTCTTTTAAAATTAAAATAATAATTATTATTGTTATAGGCGGTCTAAAATGAGTTTAATTTATACCTAATTTAGGCATGAACATCATTGAAAACTTCATGTTCTCAAATAATAATCTACAATATGTATATATATATACACATACATACATATATACATATATAGGGTAGTATAAGTCCCTTTTGCGGTTCTCAGAAGTGATGAATTTTGTTGAATGATGAATCAAACAAAAGGGAATTTCATAGAAAAGTTACGAATCCCAATTTCGATTTTAATCCCTTCAACAACTTTGATAAAAGTCATTCAAAAATTAGGAAATTTCAAAACTCAAGATGGTTTCAAAGTCATCAAATTATGACATAATAAAAAATTGTGTTTTAAAGATCTCAACACACTCACCAAGACCGTTATAATTCCAAAGGAACTGTCTAGCCATTGCGTTTTAAAGCCCAAATAGTTCTGTTTTCTTGATAAGTTATACTTCTTGCTGAATAACTCTTAGGGAGTATAGTTGCCAGGATACTTATCACGTGTTTAGGTTTAAAAATTTCGAATATTGCATTTTATGTTAGTCTTCGACAAACTAAAAATATATCGAAAAGTGGAGGAGGATGATTGTTTGGATCTAAGGTATCTAGGATAATATAGAAAGACATCTTATTGTATTTTTCATAAATAAAAAAAATATTCAGGTATGGTTTCTATACTCTACGGACAAGATAGAGAATTGTGGAAGTTACATAATATTTAGACAAAAAATTATAAACAATGTGAGTAAGCTTATTAAAATTATAAACAGTAAGTACATTAAAATATAAACAGAGAAAGCTAAGTAACAAGATCCTAAACTGAAGTAAATAGATGGTAACAATTATTGTAGTGCAATATATAATATATGCAAATGTGAATATACTTCTACAGATCTACAGGAGAGATTGAAAGAAAAGGAAAAAGGATATAATATGAAATAATAGACATAAAGGAATGTGGAGAAAGAAAAGAAAACCAAAAAATTAAGTAAATAAAATTATAAAAATACAATTAGAGACTTACAGGTGTGTTCAGCTATGAGTTTCACTTAGAACTGGAAAACCAGGGTAAGGGCAGGTATTGGAGAATTAGCTGACTTGTTTGTGTAATAGGAAAAAAACCTAGTAAATTACAGTATCTGATACTGTAAACTGCTGCTAGCTGAACACACTTGTAAGTCTCTAATTTTATTCTTCTAATTTTATTTACTTATTTAATTTTTTGGTTTTCTTTTTTCTCTTCTTTCTTCACATTCCTTTATGTCTATTATATCCTTTTTCCTTTTCTTTCAATTTCTCCTGTAGATCTGTAGGAGTATATTCACATTTGCATATATTACATACTACACTACAACAATTGTTACCATCTATTTACTCCAGTTTAGGATCTTGTTACTTGGCTTTCTCTGTTTATATTTTAATGTACTTACTGTTTATAATTGTAATAAACTTATTCACATTGTTCATAATTTTTTGTCTAAATATTATGTAACTTCGACAATTCTCTATCTTTTTGTATCTTGTCCATTCTAGCCCTGAAGAAGTCTGCCCCGTAGCACCAATTCGATCAGTTAAGTTTATCTTACCTGACTGACCTTAGAGCATGATTGGTCTCAGGCTCTGCGATCATTGCGATCGCTATGGCTTTACATCAACTGCCGATAGTGCAAGAGGGTGCCTGCACATCCGCAGTTGATGAAGGACGACTTGAACCGAGGGCTCAAGCCGAGAACTGTTCCTGCATATTTTGTGACAGACCAACCAACCCACACAATGAATTTCAACCTTCCCACTATGGTTAAAATAGATTTAGTCGTATCTTTAGAACTTTTAAATTCACAGCCAGCTTAGGTTTTTCCACTATTGATTCACAAGTGAACTCCATTCCGCAAGATGTGGTGGTACATTTCTAGTTAAAATATGTTTTCAAAAAGACAAAATAATACAAAAGCAATAGTGTAAAAGAGGTAGCCAATATACATGGCAAATAATTACAATATGGGAAAACTCAGATTTAAAAAAATGAAATAGAGCACGAACGAAAAAAAATATATATACAATTAGCCTGACTACCTTTAAGCAGTAAGCACTTAAAATAAAAGGATACATTTTTCACTGTAATTATCGATTCTTTAATATCGATTTGTTAAAATTGGTCCTGTAACCAGTTTTCTAATATGCATTCATTATTTGAACTAATAAACATTTAGTACCTATTTATGTTATTATGCTTGGTGGGAGGAAATAGCTCAGCAAATAGGATATGCTATTCCTTATTTCTAACCACAGGTAAGCCCTCTATAAGACAGAGGTTTTAACTCTGTCTAAACCAGAATGGAAGTGTCTTGGTTTATTTTGTAGGATGGTCAGGGATTAAATATTAATGGAAGCTGGTGTTAATTGAACCTACACTGCTCTAAACGGGGCAATCAGGTACCAGGCACCATTTACCTAATGTACCTGGGCCATTATGACTTCTAGTATTCTAGTATCCACGCTAAACTAGTTATTTGTCTCATAATCCTATGTTGAACATTTGGTACATGTGAGCGACGCAGGCTCTATGGACTGCTATCTGCCAATGTTTATAATCTGAACACTGATAATTGTGATAAGTCACTGATAATCCCTATCTTCATATAAAATTAGACTCTCATATAATTATAATATATATGTATGTATATATACATATATATATATACATATATATATATATATATATATATATATATATATATATATATATATATATATATATATATATATATATATATATATTAATAAGAAATATAAATATAATAATAATATAGTAATTTAATAATAAGAAATATAAATAACAACAACACTTTTATTTTACAACATACATAACTCATTTCATTTATTTATTTTGGGAGGCAAAATAGCGAGGAACGGGTCCTCTTCTCTGTGAGCGCACAGCCACAAAAATTCGCATAAATATGAATCGAGGTGTTGCCTCGCGGCTCCTCGCTGTTTCTTATTTCTCCACTTAGCTGAGCCCCATAAACATTCTATATGTTGAGTATGTATCGCAGTCGATTGATCAATGAAGTTATAACTGTGATTCACCTGAAAATGATTGTAGTTTGCTTCATTTACTTGTTGAGTGTTGTATCCTTTCCAACAGTCCGAATAAATAGTGCTTCCCTCTTCTATATTATTTTTAATATATTCTAATAAAATTCTTGCCTTTCTGTCCTTTATTTTTACGATGAAACAATTGTCTGTTTCTCGACTAACTCTGCCAAACATCCATTGTTCAGGGAGAACTCTCCCTACATTATTTTTGTTTAGAAAAAAGACTCGTCTACTTCAACCACTTTCTCAGGCCCTCCAATTTTCTTTGTTGACCTGTATAACATGTTATGGGCACAAACCTCTCTTAAAATTTTTTTCCACATTACGATACATTTGTTCGGTAGTTTCAGTTGCTCTTTGCCCCACTTTATTGTTGTCAAATTATGAGACCACCCATAAATAAATTTTAAAGCGGTTGAAAAGGTAGTCCCCTCTAACCACATCCCTTTCCTTATTGATACCTTTTTCTTACAACTGTTACGAAAGCATCTCCGTTTCGTCTTCCCGTTGAACTTCATTTCATGACCTTCATCACAATATTTCACCTTCGCAATTATCCCTGCATCTTGAAAATATTTGATGGTCTCTTCTTCTGAAGACGGCAATTCCCACAATGTAATTACGTCCATTTTAATCAGACACAATGAATATACACACATGCAACAGCTCACACTATGTAAAAAGGCAGGTTACGTGACGTAACATAAGATAAGATAAGAAGGTGACGTAACATAAAATAGAAAGGTTACGTAAGATAAGATAAGAAGGGAGGTTTAGCAGAGCCCGTGTTACTCACGAGTACTGAACATTTAACTCACATTTTGAGATACATTCGGTAATTTAGAAGTAAATATTTTTGTCTTTACTGGAACGTAAATAATCTGTTAAAGTTAATTTCCAAATACATTGGTAATGGTTTTTTTTTATTTTGTGGCCATTCAATCTTTGGAAACAAAAAAATATTTCTTCTGTTCATTTTTTCTAATTTTGGTGTCTTGAAGTTTTTTATTTTTTACAATAAATTAGGCCAATTATCACCAACATTTTATTGATAGGCATTAATTCGACGTTTCGACCATACTAAGGGTCATTTTCAAATATGAAAAATAGTAATATCATTATTAGTTAATATTCAACAATTACAAAAAGAATTTCTTATTACATTTAATTGACTTGTCTAACGATCATGTTATATTATTTTCGATACAGATAAATTTATCCAAAACTATTCATGAAGTATACACTTTTTCTTATAAAAAACCATACATGTACGTAACTTTAAACATTAAACCTTACATTAAAAACAATTGACTATTACCTTGATGAGTCCTCCATTATATGTTCATCATTAATGTTGTAATTAATATGTTCAGTGAACATTAATTTGTCATGTTATATAGGGGTTTCACCTACATCATTTCTGGAGGGACTGACTTATATCGTCCTGAAATTAAATTAAAAAATTGTATACCAATACCAAAGAGATTATACCACGTGACATGAAAAGTAACCTTATTTATAAAATAAATTGTAAAAATTGCACTAATAAATCTTATATAGGACAAACGGGACCATAAAAAACCATACATGTACGTAACTTTAAACATTAAACCTTACATTAAAAACAATTGACTATTACCTTGATGAGTCCTCCATTATACGTTCATCATTAATGTTGTAATTAATATGTTCAGTGAACATTAATTTGTCATGTTATATAGGGGTTTCGCCTACATCATTTCTGGAGGAACTGACTTATATCGTCCTGAAATTAAATTAAAAAATTGTATACCAATACCAAAGAGATTATACCACGTGACATGAAAAGTAACCTTATTTATAAAATAAATTGTAAAAATTGCACTAATAAATCTTATATAGGACAAACGGGACGATGGTTCGCAAAACGAATAAAACAACATGAACAAAATTGCAAGTCCATATCAAACACATCAAACGGCCTTTCACAACATGCAACATACAATAAACACCAATTTGATTTTAAAAATGCCAAAATAATATACAAGGAAAGTAGTAACAATAAAAGAAAGATTATAGAGTGTATATATATTACAAAAAAAATTTACAGAATTCCGTTAACAACCATACAGATGTGGACAATATAAATACTTTTTACGCAAATGTAATTAACAAAATTCGCATATAATAATATAATAATCCACCAATACAAAACAATAGAAAGAAAATCCCTCTCCTTTTGACTATTCCCACCAGGACGATATAAGTCAGTCCCTCCAGAAATGACGTAGGCGAAACCTCTATATAACATGACAAATTAATGTTCACTGAACATATTAATTACAACATTAATGATTAACATATAATGGAGGACTCATCAAGGTAATAGTCAATTGTTTTTAATGTAAGGTTTAATGTTTAAAGTTACGTACATGTATGGTTTTTTTACAAGAAAAAGTGTATACTTCATGTATAGTTTTGGATAAATTTATGTGTACCGAAAATAATATGACATGATCGTTAAACAAGTCAATTAAATGTAATAAGGAATTCTTTTTGTAATTGTTGAATATTAACTAATAATGAGATATTACAATTTTCCAGATTTGAAAATGACCCTTAGTATGGTCGAAACGTCAAATTAATGCATATCAATAAAATGTTGGTGAAAATTGGCCTAATTTATTGTAAAAAATAATATAAAAATATTGTGGATGTATAGGATTAAATATTTTCTTACCTCTACTGCGTAACTTTTCCAAGTTCTGTTCCCAACTTGGAACCTATGTGGCATTTATTTTTTATTTCTTTAGTTTAATTTGAAATAATGTATGTTTTTTTTTTTTTTAATATTTTGTGATCTATAAAAATCATCTTTTCTGTTACAGAGCTTCGGTCGCAGTACCTATGATTGTTCAGCGGGTGGTCCAGTATCTCCTTCTCAACTGTACCGTCAAAATGGCGTTACATATGCTTTTCACAACGGTATGGCTTTTTTTCAACAACCAACTCCATCATTACCTCCATCAGCCCATATTGAACATATGCCAGTCTTCCAATCAGGTTATTGGCTTTTTTATTCAAAAAACTTGAATAATCCTTTATTTGGTGGGTTTTTGTCGTCTTGCTTGGTTCCTTCGTCCTCTCGATAGGAGAGTTATACTATTAAAACGATTTTCTTTCAAGTTGAAATTGGCTTATGTTTTTTATGCCTTGTAAAATTGAATACTCCCATAGGATTATACAATTTCCATGATGCAGGCTGTTTCCTGTTTAGACTCTGTTGATGTAGCAAGGGACAGAGGTGTAGGTGAGGAACCAAGTGTTGCGTTTTAAAAACTGCTTAGTTGAAAACTATGGGTGATGAGGTAGAAACACTCATTACCTTGCCAATATCTTAATGAAGAGACTATATCTTGTCTCATCTGTTCCTAATAAAAATTCAATTATTACACTCCCTTGCCGTAGTAACATGAATGTCATGTACAGTCAAAGTTGAGTGAATAATTAAAGAAATGATAGCCGTTTCCCGTTACCCGTGAGCGCCATGGTAGACACAGAGTCTACCATCGACAACTGATAAGTCAGACATTTGACAGATACGTTCCCAGTACTGTGACCATGCGATCTCTGGTGTTATCTAGAGTCATCAAGCAGACACTCGGGAGAATGATTTTGATCCAATAAAAACATGCTTTCCATAGCTGGACTTGGTTGCATGTATTAGCTCTAGAATTACCACACTTATCCACTTGAGTGGCATATATCCGGTAAACTATGACCAGTTTACTGAGCCTTTTTCGTTTTCACTTTAAGTCAGCTCATATTGAGACTTGCATGGCTTAAGTTTTGTGACAAACATATAACTACTCGCAGGATCAGCCGGGAAATTGGGACAATGCCGCTCCGCTTCGCCACTAGGCCCCTCCTAAATTCATAATATGTGTATATAATACAACCTCATGTATATTATAAAACATTTCTCTCAATCTCATGCGAACAGACCGAGTGGTCAGCCCTACCCGCGGTACCCATAGGCCACATGGTGTCATCTCCTCCTTCTCTCATTAACATACATCTCCACCCGGGTCAGGTGGTGTCGGGGCTCTGCCTCGGAGACTGCACTGCCCAGATGTCGGCTCGGGAGTCGCCCCTCAATCTTGTCTTGACTAAATTTTTTTTTCTTAAGCCACCTCCAGGCTCCCAAACTCCATAAATATATCCTACAAAACAGAAAATTCATTGGTGCATAAAAGAATTTCAGAGACATGTTTGTGGCAGGATTAGTTAGCTCATATTTATTGTGTATGCCCATTCTGTACACTGTTTGTTTGGTTCAAGTTATAAACTTAAATTAAGACCCAAAAACGTTAAAGAGCCCCCTATACACAGAATGCAATATGTCTCGGCAGTACAATATTCCTGTTGGTGGCGATATAGTTACATTATATTCTTAGTCTCCCGATCCTGAGTCAGCGCTTTCATTGAATTCATAGGCTTCCCCTTCTTTTCACCAATCCTGGAGATGTTGTCCATCCATAGCAATCTATATCTTCCTCGAGGATGGCGTCCATTAGGCCTGTCCTCAAAAAAATTCTTTGGATCACAGTCCTTATCCATTCTGCTTAAATGACCAATCCATCCCAACTGCCTCTTTTCGACTGTTTTCCTCAATGATGGTACTCCCAGGTCTCCCGTATCCTTTCATTCCTAACTGTCCCTCCTTGTTTAGCCTACTGTTCTCCGGAGGTACTTTATTTCTGCCGCAGTAGCTCTACTCCAGTGCCTGTCCAGGGGTACCCAGCTCTCACTTTCATAAATAAGGATAGATAAGTATAAGTATATGGACTTTAAGATATGTAATTTTACACTGTTTTCCAATTCCTAAGGCTGTCACCCTATCTAACCTCCTTTCTCATAGCGAAGACCTCAGACATTCTTCCGTAACTACTCCTTTAGAGTCATAGTAGTTAGATTTTATGGCACTAATTAATTCTGTGGGAACATTTTTAGTGGCTAAATCTGTCCATATTTCTTCTCTGGGGACGGAGTCGAATGCTGCTGTTATGTCCAGAAACACCAACTACAAATAATAACTCCTCTCTCCCATGACTCAATAATCGTTCTGGGTGAGAAGATGTGGTTCTGTGTTTAACGATGGAGTCTAAAAGCTACTTTCTCCTCTTCTAATTTGCCTTCAATATTTAGTCTGTTTTCTTTCCAGTATGGAGAAGTAAAGTTTGTAGACATAAGGCCTATAGTTTTAACATTCACTAGAGCTTCCTTTCTTGTAGATCGGTATGATGATGTTGGCCCCCCTTCCTTAGACATAGATTTAGAAGGAAATATATTCTGAAACAGGTCCTGTAAAGCTTTCTGTAATTGTGGACCTCCAAATTTTTATAAGTTCTGGAACAATACCATCTTTGCCTACTGCTTTCCCATCTCCATTTTCTCTATAGTCCAGATGACACCCTCTTCCCAAATCACCTCATCATGTACTTCTATTTTTGTTTCTTGCCTGTCCTCCATTCTTTCTTTCGAGCCGCCAGAGAACAATACAGAATATTGGTGCCGCCATCTCTCTAATATTTCCTCATCTTCAGTAATTTTTTGCCCTAATTCTTTCTAGAAAATCTTAGTATTTTCCTTGTAATCATTCTACTGAATTTCTTCTGATGTAGAGCTCCCAGTTGACTGTAGTATTGAGTTGACAATACTCCTTCCAGGCTGTCTTCTTCCTAACTACCGCAGCTTTCACCAGATAACTCCACCACTACTCAGGCCTTTTACCTTTGGTGTAGAATACCTTCATTCCGCATATACTTTCAGTAGTCTGAAGTATTGCATTCTTCAATGCAGCCCATGTATTGTTGACATTTCCTTCAGTATTCACATACCTGAGTTTCTGATCCAGAAGCTCTGCATAGTCACTTTTCTTATCTGGATTCTGCAGCTTTGCAATGTCAATTTTCTTGTATGTTTTGTGTTGTTTCTTTCTGGGTCGTATTATCTGGGTGTCTTCAATCAACAGAAGATGGTCCGAACCAATTTCAGCACCTCTTATTACTTTTATATCAGTAAAGTATCTCCTTATACTTCTACTGTAGGCAATGTAATCTGTAACACTATTAATGCTTCTTTCTTCAGCTGAAAAGGTTATTTTGTGCACCATCTTTCCAATGAGGTCGTAATTGTTTAAGAAGTCGATGAGCCTTTGACCATTTCCATTTTTGGTGCGTTCTCCTCCATGTAGACCCATAACATCATGGGAATTTAAAAGCTATTTTTCGGTCCTTAGTTGAAATCACCCATTAAGATAATCCATCTGTTACAGTTCTAACCTCTGATGACCTCTCTCTAAATCAGCATAGATCTGTTCTTTGTTGATAACATTTACATCCTCTGTCAGGACATAAACTTGTATTAGCGCAGTCTTTCCTATTGACAAATCCATATACACTGTTATAATTTTTGAAGATACGATCTGTTATGATTCTTGAAGATTGGCTGCCAATCTTCTACTTTAGTGAATAGGTTTTCTTTCATGATGATGGCAACACCTTCCTTGGCTCTGAATCCAGCTGATACTCCTGAGCAGATAAGCACATAGTAGTTGTTTAGGTGTACTTCACCATCTCCTTTTTTCCTCACTTCGTAAATTCCTAGGAGGTCTACCCTGAACGTCTCCTTCTGTTTCATCAGTTCAACGTCCTTGCCAGTTGAAGTCTTGATATTCCATGTTTCAAGTCTTAATATTCTTTCAAGCGTCGAACCCGATCAAACTGTCCGAGTCTCAGGCCATTTGATATACTCTGAATCAGTTGAGCTCTACTGGGTGATTGGCCCAGCAGGAAAATTATAAGTTTAAGCTTAGTTAAATGATTTTTGTTTTATTTTTGACATTAACATATCAGATATAAATTTGTAATATCATACATAGAATAAGTAATATATAGATAATCACATATAATATGATTAATATCACAGGTCCGCCATATGGAGCGATGACGCCTAGCAGTCCTGGACCAGCATACCCATTTCCGTATGCGCCGCAAGGACAACTGTTTTATCAAGCTCCACAGTATCAATATCATGTTCCTGTAAGTTAAATTAAAATAAACAAAATTAATATTTTTTACACACATATATTTTAGTGATTTTGCAAGTGTTTGTTGAGAATTGATTGTTAAGAAATTATCATAAGTTGTTAAAATTATAGTTATACTGATTTTATGTTTTCGACGAATGAGATTCGAAGGACTTGTGTGATAGAGCCAAAACCTTTGATAGATACCAGAGGTCTCTAATCTACAGCCCGTGGGCCCCTCCGATCCGCCCCATGTAAGTTTCTCATGGTATCCAATTGTAAGGGAACTTAAAAAAAAAAATTTAATGTTATTCTATTTTTTTGGTTTGTTGCTTTTGTAACAAAATAAATGATCTTGTATTTACATACATAATAAAGAATATTGTCATATTCACATAATCTTAAGGCTAAATATTTTTATTAATTATTAAACAGCCTTTGAACAGTCACATTGTGGCAGTATTTTTCCTTTGAAGTCACTGACGTCATTTGGTTTTTCTGTGATAAAAATACCATCTTTCTCTATGGGAGCCCGGTCAGGGAAACAGGTACAAAATGCCTGATGAGAAGGAGATGGATTTCCGAATCTATTAATTTTTTCAAATTTAATATCTATTTAAAAATTTGTGTAAAAATAAATATATCATAAATAAAGAAGAATATCTCATCATAATTTTATGGGAATATTATTGTCTTCATTGTCACTTCTATAATTACAAGTGTATACATTTTTAAAGGCATTTATTTTAATGCAAATATTTGTATTTAGACCAGGAAATTTGCTGTAATATTAATATTTAATTTTTAATTGAGAATATGTATACATACTTTTATGTGAATTCACAATATTCTTTACTGCAACTGTAAATACAGCTATATTCATATTTATAAGAGTGAATACGATAGCAAATATATCTATTTAGACTTTTAAATTTGAAAAAATATAAATATTTTTTAAATAAAGAAGAATATTTATCGATAATATGTGAGTAAAACAATATTCTATATCATGTTTTTAAATACAATTGTGGGAGAATAAAGAGACAAATATGCCCTACTCTGATGTGTTAGAGTGGATTTTACTCGACCTTAGTCTGCCATTTATATTGGGCAGACCACAAGGAAACTAACGGAAAGTATTAACTGATATTTCCTTGGGTCAGACTATACATCTCATTTCAAGAACCATATTAAAAAAAATTGGAGTATTGTCAGGGCCATGATCATTAGTGTGGGATTTTAGGATAGTGGAAAGTAATTCATCGTAGGACACGTGGGAGAAAAAGAAGTCTTCAGGTTTGAAGTTGTGATGTTTAATATCGAAAGAATGAGAGGAAGAGTGAGTAAAGTATAAGAAATGGTTTTTAAAATCATGTGGAGAAAGAGGGAACTACGATTAATGGATTGTGGTAGGGATAGGTTACGGAGTATTTTCCATTTAGATTTGGAGTCGGGAGCATTAGACAGGGTATTATGAAAGTAGGTGGTTTTAGCCAGTCTGACTGCGGATTGGTTCCATTGTGAAGCGCCTTGAAAGACGCATAATCCACAGCTAGATGGGTTCAACGGTATTTGCACCTTGCTGCATCTCTTCCCCTCATCATTTCCTTTATCTCACGGGTCAGCCAAGGTGCAGTGGGACGGCGTAAGGTTTTGGTTTTCAGAGGAGCTTGGATTTTTAATATGGATTGTAGGTTTGAGGTCAGGGTGGATACCGTAGGATCAATGGAGTTGTAGGAATATATGGTGTCCCATTGGACAGAATTAAGGTCTGGTTGAAGGGATTCATAGGAGAGAAGATTTAAATTGCAGTATGAAACTATTTTGGGAGTGAAGGATTTCACGGGTAGGTCGTATGTAATTTGGATCAGGTCATGTGATGAAAGAAATAGAACTGGGTGTTGAGAAGAGGAAAGGATTTTAATGGGAGAGTCAAAGATATAAAGGTCTAACCAAGTATCGGAAAACTGCGTGTGGTGGGTAGGAGAATAAGGAACAAGATGAAGGTTAAGGGAAAATAACAGGTCAGTAAAGAAGTATTTTTCGGGAGATTGTGAAAGCATCTTCATGTTAAAATCACCGGTGATGATAATATTGGTGTAGTTGGAGACCAGGTTAATAAGGGAAAATTCAAAGAGGTTGTCAAATGGAACACGAGGAGGGTGGTAAACTACGGTATACTACAAAGGAGAGGAAAGAGAGGAAATTTCAACGAACAGGTATTCAATGTGAGGAAAATCATGATAAAGAGACTGTAAAAGGATTTTGGCCTGACGACTGTCATGGATATATAATCCGACACCACCTCCCGTGTGATGCCATCTATCATGACGTAGGAACGAGTAATCTGATTAGGAAATCTGGGAGGATGAGATAAAAAAAAGGTTTTAGCCAGGTTTCAGATACTGCTATTATGTGGTAAAAAATGTCAAGGAAATATTTCTGGAATTCATCGTAGTGTGCAATAAGGGATTGGGCGTTGATGTGACAGGAATTCAGAATATTAGTCATAATAGTAGAGTTGGGAAGTAGAGGTTTGGTGAAAAGGATCGAGGATACAGGATAGGATATAACATTTTTTTAAACAAATACTCCATTTAAAAATATATTAAAAAAATTGCAAACAAAATAAAAGTTGAAATGAAAACATTGAATATCCAGTATTTCGAAATAAATATTCTGTTGAATATAATTTATAGCATAAGAAAATATAAATATCCCCTTGTTTTAAATACATTGGTACATTTTGGTAAATAACCAAATAAAGTTGTAAATCATTTATACAAAAATAAAGAAAGCTGGAAGTAAAAAAGATTAAAATCAAAATATTTCTGTCGAGAATAAAAGTATACAAAAATAAAAAAAGCTTCAATAAGAATAAAAAAATTAAAACAGCAACATTTATATAAAAATAAAAAAACCTGAAGTTAAAAAAAAAATTAAGTAAAAATGTTTCTGGCGAAAATAAATGTATATAAAAATAAAAAAACCTGAAGATAAAAAAAATAAAGTAAAAATATTTCTTTAAATACAGACTCAGGGTAACTTGTAAACAACGTTCAACTGTATATGTCCAGGTCACTCGGTTTTCCTATAATCACCGGTGGGTATCCATCTAACTGTCTGCAGCGAATTTTTCCTATTTTTGCAGTTGATTTCTTCTGCCTGGCTAACTAATAGAGGTGTTTATTGGTGGGTCTTAGCTTCTGTCCTAGTACCATTTATATATAGTGAACTGTTTGCATAAAACTTTAACACTATATACGATGCTAATATAGAATTTATTTTAGGTTAACGAATGAATTATAGAATATTCCGAAGTACAGATCTCTTCTTCACCAAATTATTAACATCTTTCTAGCATCGTGGCTTCACTTACATATACGCGGTGCGAGTCATTCTCTCCCCAGCCTAGATGTCGTGGAGAAATCTCTCTTTGTTCTTCGCTGCCCCATTAACTAACTCCTCTTTCACCGTCTGTCTAACGAATCTTGCAATAATTGGGCCTGGTGTCCTTTCTTGCTTGGGCTTGAGTCTCACGACGTGATCAAGATCTTCCGGACTCAGCTTGACGCCCAGACCCGCTCCGATGTTAAGAATTGTGCCAGTTACAGTTTCACCCGGCTTCTCCTCATATTTTTGAGTTGACGTCTATAATAATAATTATATCAATATAATATAATAATTGTTATATTATATTCAAGAGGAAATTATATAGATAAAAAAAAATTGCTGTCACCTGGGTGAAGTCATACTATCACCTCCAGATGAAAACCGTTTTCCGTACAAATTTTTGCTCTAAAATTTTTATTTTGTATAGAATAACAGAAGGTTACAGGAGCTTAATACTGTAACGAAGACATCAGAGTGTAAATCTCTATTTTGTATTAGGATAATTTGAGGTTACAGGGGCTCAACACATATTATTACAGTAAGGCCCGAAATCGGTTTTGTACCAAATATAAGCTCCTGTCATGCTCAAATACCATGAATGGGATACGGTTGGAATCAGAATTTCATAGGGGGGGGGGGCAAATCGTATTCTCCACTTTTTTTTTTTTCTTTCTAAAATAAATAAAGTCGATACAAACATTTTGCTAGGCTTCAACACTCGAACGGTGGTAGGTCTGTAGATCGATACGGGACAAATTGAATCTTAAAGATTTTGATGCATACAGCAAGATCAGGAACTATCGGATCGTTACACAACCTTACATTAATTGTAGTACTGTCATTGAATACATGTCTCATTTTGTCGACTTGAGGTATCTATGATCGAGAGAGGAGGAGTTTATATTATTTATCGATGGTGTTTTTGATTGGCAAGCCATATCATCATTAATTTTTCACCAAATCTCAAGATTAAATCACCAATTTCGAAGGCTTTCTTCTCCTTCAGGCAGGCAAAATAGTCCAATCACTCCGAAAATCAGGCAAACAAGTTATGAAAGAAAACAAACTTTATTTGCGAATAACTAAAAAAGTACACATTTTCCCCTTGGTTGTGCCCATAATTATATAAAAGATTCTAAATTCCATGCAAAAGGAAAAAAAAAATCGAAATCGGACAATTTTTAGCAAAGATACTGGTTATTGAAATTTGTAAACATGTTGGTTCCAAACATTAATGAAGATTTAAATTAATTTTTGTTGCCTTTGTCGAGTATATTTATCGATGAAGTAACAATTGATTTCTTTTCTTTTGATACGTTGCATTATTTTATTTTCTTATTGATTTGGCATTTGAAAGCAATATGCTGTGCGAATTTTTCGCATGGGCCTGCTAGTCATTAAATAAACAGCTGTATAATTAGTGATTATGAGCTAATAAGAGAGCTCCTGTAATCTACTTTTCTAATACTAAAATAAAATAAAACATAGAAGCTACTAAAAACTTTTTTATATAGTAGAGAGACAAATAGCTACATACCAATTGACTCTATAAAAAATATTACAAGATCATTTCTTTAAAGATTTTGAAGTACTTTAATATTGTACTAAACAATATTAGTAATAATAATCGATACTTTTTTGGAATTTTAAAATGTCAGTTTTCTGTCATTCTTCCCCTCTCTCCACCAATATCTGACGCAGGAAACTTTAGGAATGTTACCAGTTATTATGGGAAGGGTTATGAACATTTTCAAATGTTTCATCTTTTCTATTTATTTATTTTTTATCTTTAGGTCAATCCCTAAGTTTACTGTACTATTAAGGAGGTAGCTCAATAATGTGTCAGACATGCCAGGTCTGAAATACCTTTTTATCCAAAAAAGATGACTTAACAAAATTTTAATAATTTAAATATCTTCTGTCCGGCAATAAATATGTCAACTTTGAACCCCGGGCGTGTACGACATGGCAAACATTGTCGAGCGTTATTGAATGAATTTTAATTCAATAAATTTTCAATCATAAAATTTTTAGTGATCGACGATTCCTAAATTTATTTATTCCTGAGAATCATTCAGTATTTTTATTGGTAAGAACAAATTATTCAATAAGCATGGCATATGTCTGAATAAATATTTATTTTAAGAAAATATCCACTGAATATAAATTTATTCAGCAAAAATATTCACTGAATAATCACTTATTTTTGCATAAATCATGCAAAATTTAGATAAATTTATTTTTATAAAATTAACATTAAAAAAAACTATTCCTTTAAGTAATTAAGAGATTTTTTTTTAGAAAAAAAAAATTAATATTGCACAATATTGATTTATTTTAAAATTGATTCTTCCTAACTTTTCGGATTTAATCAGTATTAGGGTGTACTATTAAGTTGTAGTGGGTACTTTTTATGAAAATTGTGTCGAATTGAATATTGCACATCAAATATAAAGAGCCTCCAAGAACATAATAATTGACCCTAATATCGAATAAATCCGAAAAGTTACAAAAACGTGATGTGCAATCTATAATGTGAGTTTTTTCTTAAAAATTGTATAAATATATTTCATAAAAAGTATATAAAATATAAATTCTGTGTGAAACATTGTTACAGTTTTTTGCATAAACCTTCTGAAGCCCTCTCCGTATGAGTTCTAACAGTTATTACTAGCAACCATAAGGTGTTGGCAAAAAAAAATATCTGTGTAGGATTTTGAAATTCTCGCGCCTCAAAGTTTTTATCATTTTATTTTTCACAACTAGAAACCCTGTTTCTCTTTTTCCATCAACCATTTCACTTTGGTTATAATAATAATCGTTATAAAATTGTTTTCCTCTTAGATCATTCAATATTTTTGATATAAATTTTGGACAATTTCTTTTTCACGTTTTTTGTAGTTTTCTTAATTAAGAGTTCAGATGTCTACAGATAAGTTTATAATATCCAGATAGATGAACCATTAAACTTGATAGCAAAGCAGTTGTAATTTTTCAAAGTCGCACAAAGTATGAACCACTCTGCTTCTTTTTTTGTGTATGTGGTTTTAATTGCTTAACTATTTCTAGGAAATGGACTCTTAAAGGGATTATGAGAATATTTTTTTTTTTTTTTTTTTACAATATTTCTTCGGGATTATTGGTTTATTGCAATTTGATAGTTACAAAATTCCATGAAAATCATTTCAATGTTTAATTTAAATAAGATTTAATTTTCATGACTGCAGTTTTTTTGAATTGCAAAAACTATTTTTATTTAAAAAAAAAATTTGTCATCTCATAGAAATACTAAAAATAGTTATTTCAAACCTTCAACTGTATTAGCAACTATGATTTAATAAGTCTTATCAAATAGAAATAATTTATTTCAGTATATAAGTCGACAACTTAACCCTCCTTCCTTCACCCTCTCCCCCACCTCATGTACTACCTTTTTCTTTTGCTAATGAAGATTGTTTAGCTTTAGCTTTTTTATACTAGACTACTATTGTCCACTCACAACTTGATTCCTAACTTAAAATTTAAGCTATGAACAGTGCTATAATTACACCTTATGTCTCAATTTTATCTGGTCATTAGTCAGATACAACTTTTTAGTATTAAATGAAATAATTATATAATTATAATTTTCAGCAATATGAAGGCTATTACGAAGCAAGCCAGGTGATGGTTACTGGATTATATAATTGTGATTTTCAGCAATATGAAGGCTGTTACGAAGCAAGCCAGGTGATGGTTACTGACGGAAGCCTGGTTATTCCTCAGTATTACCTGACACATCAACCAACACCTGAATTGGCTTTTTACCAGCCAGCTACAGTGCACCCGCAAGAGGCATCACCACAATCTGTGCCACCTTTGTTATATGCTTCACCTAGGACTTATGAGTCTGCTATTATCTATTCCACGGAGGTATGACCATTGATCATTTAAATCTCATTTAATTTTTTTTTTATACATAACAGAAATGCTTTTCAGAAAATTTAATTTATAAGAATTCTTCCATAAATTTTGTAAGCAGGATATTTTAACTTATTAAATAACATACAATATTTAAAGTTTTTCTTACGCTATGTAACTTGAAACTAAATCATACAAGCATCATTTGTGCATTCAATTGCTTCTTATTCCTATTGCTTTGTGTTTTGCTTTGAATATTTTTACTCTTAATGTAATTGGTTGATTTTTAACTCTAAGGTTCATATTGGTATGAGTCTTAACCGTACACTCCTTTTTCTCTCATCCAGGTGGCTTTCAACTTGGAGGTATTTTTAATAGTCTTTATCATCCAATTCCAATTTCATATTCCTGTGTTTCATTCATTCTGTTATTACCTGCTGAAGCTGCTTGGAGGACTCGGCGATAACCTCAATGCCTTCTGCAAATATGGGCAGGATAACTCCACTGGCACATGTGCATTCTTGCTTTTGGTCTATGCAGATGGAAGCTATCTCATCTAGATAACACAATAAGGGGCTCAAAGAGTCGCTTTTTTTTTAGTCCTCTTTCCAAGCTAAACTCTTGATTCCTGACCATTCCAGGCTTCGCACACCCTATGGTTCCTGGCAAGATTATTTTATAACCTTTGAAAACCTTAGAGAGACATTCTTTGCCTTCAGGGACACCCAAATTTCTTTTCAGGTTTCTAAATCAATTGCTTCAGTTTCGAGAATGCAAGAATTATTTTGTTCCTGTTCCCTATATGTTTCCTGTATCCTATTTCTCAGGGTGAAGATATGAACCTGAATTTGTTAGTTGGATCTTAAAACTCTTGGTTCTTTCGGCAGGTCAGGCTTGGTGGAATGGTTTTCTCTGGCTGCCTTTCTTGAATGGTGGTAAATACTTAGTAAAGCACGGGAGACAGGCAAGTATGTTTGTAATTACATTCCTTTAGTGAATGGGAATTGTAATGTACTCCCAGTCCTGAAAAATCCTTTCCTCATTCCAAATTCTTTGAAAATGTTTTTTATGGCTCCTACTAACACTGGTCCTCCATATTTAAAAAGTTCTGGGACTATATTGTCTTAGCCCGTTGTTTTCAATTTTGTAATAATCTTCCCAGCCTCCTCCCCCTGAATCAGGTTATTCTCTGTATCCTTAGCCTTGGCTCCTCCATCAGGATGATCTCTTACTTCCTTCTGGATTGCCCTCAAACTGTCTTGAGAAGTACCAGTGCTATACTTCCAGCACCTCTTTCATCTTTAGCTGGCTCTCCTCTAATTCTATATGATTCTTTTATGTTTGGACCTTCTCTCTGTTCCATGATCATTATCGATATATCGTACAAACTCTTCCCATGCTTCCTCTATGCTGCCCTCAAAGGATTATGTGATGATTTTTAATATATTGCCTTAAATAAACATTAAGTTAGTTATAAATCAAAAATAAAATGAGTCTTGAGTTCTGGGTTAAATATTTCGCTTTAATCCTTTCTTGTACAAGATGAAATTATGGAGCTCTTGATCAAATTTTGTATGAAATGAATAAGTCGTTTTTGCATACTGGCTCACTGTCTTAATTTCTTTCATTATTAAGAAAGGTTCAGTCTCGATTATGCTAGCTAAAGAAGTAAAATTTTACATTTTTTATTTTGTTTCATAAATAAAACCATGCTAACAAATTAGTTGTCTCTACAAAGCATAGTCAATTACATAATTTTTAATTTTAGTTGTTTTTTTTTCCAATTATTTGTGATTTTCACAAAAATGAGCATTCATGCATTATGAAATGTAATTCTTTTAATTTTTTATTGATGTTGCATGTTAAAATTTGTTCAGCTTATTCCGAAAGCATTTCTGTTATATATTAAACTTAAAATATGTGATATACCAGAGATAATGTTTAAATTATATTTTTTGTGAATGTATTTTTTATTTATTATATTAGGACCTCAATAATCCTGAGGAATAGTTGGTAATGGGTCATAAAGATTACTGAACTGTCTAGATTACTGTTTATGTACAATGTTTTTTAAATAGACATACATTTCCACATTATATTTAACACTTTAATTTTTAAATAACTTGTACAATTCTATACTTAAAAAAGTTTTTTTATCACTTAATGAACCAATTGGGAAACAAAGTTGAATTCAATTTACACATCATAACCATAAGCCAAAAGAAGTAGAGAATTGTTTGAATGTTCTCTGAAAGATTTCGTATTTAGATTATTGAGGTCCTGCTGTACTTTTTTTTCTTTTCAAGGACACAACATGTTTTGATTTCCAAAAGATTAGTTTCCTTAGCCATTTAAAAAAATTATCATTATCACAAAGAAAAAAGAATTCTTTAGTTATATTACAGTATTTATTTAATTAAATGTTCTTGAAAAGAAAAAATATTTAGTGAATTATATAGCAAAAGTAACTGATAATGATTCAATTATTGTATATATATTTAATAACAAAATGATCTCTTTTTTAAAAATAGATTTTTTCCTCTTTCAAGTTATTCTCCTTTTTAAACTACACTTTGTATTTATAGGAACTAGGGATCGACCGATTTATAGGAAGTTTCTATAGTTTTATGGAATATCCTACTTATTGCTAAATAAAAGAATAAATAGACCATCTAATATCGACCTATGCGCATATTTTGACCGATAAAAGATCGATAAGCCTATTTTTCAGCATTTCTGTGATTTATTTCTATTTGTCTAGTTCAGTACAACGTTGCATAGAAAATTGTTGCCAATCAATCATCAAGATATATCAGCCTTATGACTTCATTTTATCAAGATTGTTACAGTCAGACCATTTTTTAAAATTGATTTATATTCTTATTTTATTTTATTTTTTTTATCGTCCCCAAAACTTGAGCAGATGATATTCTAAACACTTATATATCGGCCATACAACCTTATTTTATCATGATTCATAGATTTTTACTTGGGATGTTATTGATATTGATAATAAATGTGCCATTCAAAGGCCTTGGAATCGATATAAAACATAAATGTAAATAAAGAGCGATATATCAGCTTTAAGATTTAATTTTATCGATATGGTAGAGTTTGATAATTTTTTTCTTTGTGCTTGCTTTATTCCAAATTTTTGTTGAATATTGATCCTTTGACGAACGATTGAGACATTTATTAGGAATAATAATAATGTTCAAAGTGAAAGAGGCTGTATGTCATTCTTTGCTCAAATTTATGATTATGCAGATCGGTTGACGCATTTATTAGCAATAAATAATATTCAAAATAAAATTCTTAGAATCTCGGTATAACAAGATCGTGAGGCCAATATATTGGTCTTTGAAATATCGGTATCTGCCCAAATTAGAGAAAGGGGGCCAGAAATATAAAATAAAATAAATATTTGTCAAACTCCACTAATCCCAATAACATAAAATCATAAGGCAGATATTTCGGTCTTCGCTTAAATTGATGTTATACAGATCTGTTGACGAAAGATTAATGCATTTTTTTAGCGATAAAAATAACATTCAATGTGAAAGAGGCCGATATTTCGATTCAAGGGAATGACAGAAAATTTGGAAGATGTTCACAAATAAAAAAATAACAAAACAAAATAAAGTAAAAAACAATAGTTAAACTTTACTTATATTGATAAAATAAGGTCATGAGGCTGTTATATTAGTCTTTGGAATATTAGAATCTGTTCTGTTAGGAGAGGATCAGAAAAATAAAATGAAATAAAATAATTTTCAAACTCAAGCAATCTTAATAAAATAAGGTCATAAGGCAGATATTTCGGTCTTTGCTCAAATTTGGGCTTATCTTAAAACCTAGATGAATGATGGACAAATTTATTAGCAATTAAAATAATATTCAAAGTGAAAGAGACTGATATATCGGTTCAAAGGGATGACCAGAAAATTTATAAGATGTTAAAAAAAAAATTAAATAAAAAAAAACAAAACAACAAAAGTCAATCTTTACTGATCTTGATTAAATAAGGTCGTAATCCCGATATATTGGTCTTTGGAATGTCGCTATCTACCCAAATTTGGGAAAGGGATAGATCAGAAAAATAAAATTAAATAAAAATTTGTCAAACTCTACCAATCTTAATAAAATGAGATCATAGTACCGATGTTTCGCTCTTTGCTCAAATTTATGTTCATGTTGATCCCTTGACGAATGATTGACATATTTATTAGCTATCAAAATAATATTCAATATGAAAGAGACTGGTCTGGTATATCAGTTTTTGGGAAAGCCATAAAATTTGGAAGATGTTTCTCCTCACCCTCCCCAAAAAATAAGTAAATAAACAAATAAAAAACAATATTCAAACTTTACTTATATTTATAAAATAAGGTTCTGCGGCCGATATATGAATTTCGGCCTTAGGAATGTCAGAATCTGTTCAAATTAGGATAAGGGAAGGACCAGAAAAAAATTAAATATATATATGTCAAACTACCAATCTCAAAGGTGAATATATCTGTGTTTCGCATATCAATATCAGCTGAAAATCTAGAAAGAGAATATGCAAGAATGGAAGAAGAAAAAAAAATCAGCATATCGGTGCTTGATATTGGTTGATACCGATAATCGGCCGATATGCTGATATTAATATCGGTATCGGTCGGTCTCTAATAGAAACTTAATGTATTTATAGAAATTTAATTCATAAATTTTATTTGTTTTCTATCTTGGGATTTCTGCCCATTGAGGAAGGAATAAAAACAATATGGTACATTGTGAACTACGTTTTGAGTTAATATTGATACCATTTGATCCATTCACCTCTAGCAATTTTTGTTAACAATATTATTATTGATCAAATATTTTTGAAGTGTGACTATTAGCTAACATAGTTAATTTTTTTTTCTCATGATCAGTTTTCTTTTGCCTTAACATATTGCCATTTCTTTTTTTTCATTAATTTTCTATATATGAAGAGTTATTGTATGTGCATGCGAAGTTTGGTATTCAAAATTATAGTTTTTTTATATACTGAAAGATAGAATTTTCTGTTAGCCAAAATGTGAATTGGAGAATGGTATGATCAATCATAATGGAGGTGGTATGGCTGTGATAAATAAGGAGGAGGGAGAACCACCAGCCCAAAACCCGAGGCGAACCCGTGAGGCAGCCCCTGTGGTTTCCTACGTTAAAATGAGTAAAGGAAAGGAGGACCAGCCTCGAAGGAAACATCACCACCAACACGACGAGGGGAGGAGGCAGCATCATCATTTGAACAATAATAATCCAGATGCTGCTAACAGGAACTTGAAACATGATGCAAGGCGTGGCACTCCCCCCTCTGTTCCCCCATTTCCAGCCAACCATACTTGTCCTAACCCAAGACACCCTCCTGTACAGGTTCCTCAGTTCCCGTACTATCCCCGCCAGGTCCTCGCCCCTCCTACAGCCCTCACGTCTTTCTACCCACCCCCACCACCACCTGCCCGGCCTAGGTCATACTACAGGCCGAGATATGTGAGTAAAGCATGCCTTCTTAATATCAAGTTGCTGGTGGTATCAGAGAGGCAATTTATATTCAAATCTATTCATCAGGTCTGGCCAATATGTTTATTAGAAAATTTTTTATGGTAAATTTTTAACCTCAAATGAGTTGTATGAGAGCTCTCAATTTTTTAAATTCATATTTATATTCAATTAATAACATGACAATTAAATATTATTATTGTTAATATTATACTAACTTTATAAATTATAATTTATAAAAAATTGGCTTTAAATGTTTAAGTTATACCAACAATTTATTTTCTTAATAATTAAGTGTAATTTTACAAGGGTAGGTTACATACATATGTTGTGTCACCGATTTCAATGACTATTTGGTGATACGAGGTCAACAAATATGACTAAGGATTCTTATCAATGTGCCCTAGAAAATGAGAAATGAAAATTTAACATATATTTTTTTAATTATTGTTTTCTACATTTCCTCTTCATAGATTTCTAGGTTATATCATTTGATTTTTTTTTTCTGTGCAAATTAAGAAAAATAAATAAATTTAAAAAACAAACAACACTTGCCATGCAGTAAAGTACACCAAATAAATTTTTATCATATAGAATCTGTTCAGATTCATTTTTAGTGTCCTTTAAAACTTTTAAATACGTATTCATTTATATATCAAAAAATATAAATGTTCTTATACGTATAACCTGTAATTAACTATTAATGGGGATTACTTGTTAGACATAGCAAAATACTAAAAAAAAAATAACTTCTATTTTTCTATGACTACGAAGATTCCCTTAATTTTTCATTATCTATAGTATGAGCAATAAAGCTGTAAACACACAATAGATCTCATAAAAACTATTAAATGAAGACAAAATATTAGGAAACAATAGAATCGAATGGAATCTGGATGTGTGATATGTACATAGATGTTTTATTCTTATTTTTGGACCGAATCTAGAGAATATACCAGGTTTTGCCATGCAGCCTTACTCTAGGTTCCCTATTTTAAAATTATATTTATCATTCAGTGTGAGTACAATATTAAGACAATTTGTACTGAATGAAGGAGCAAAGTGGATTTAAATATTTTTTAAACTAGAAACAAAATTAAGATTGTATTTCACACCTCAAAAAACCCTTCAATACAGATTTTCATAAAAATCAAAATCTTTTGATCAAATTTTTTGCCAAGGGTTGGAGCCTTTGATATATTTTTTTTTTTGTAATCACAAAATACGTAATTAAAACTTCAACATGACTACACCAATTCACAAAGAAAAATAGGACTGTTGAAGTAAAGATTTTTACTATGAAAAAGTTGTGTTCATTATGTCCAGAAAAAAGTTTTATTCAGTAAGTATTAAAAAATCAGATGTTTTATTCATTTTTATTATGATTGTCAGTTTTCTGATGGAGATAGATTTCTGAAAATTATGCCTGCTGTAGAAAAATAGATATTTCTAGAAATAAAAGAACAGGAAAGATTTTCAATTGAGGAAATGATATGCTCATATAAAGTTAGGAAAAGCGATAAATATTTGAAGAAAAAAAAAACCGTCAAATTTTTAGTCAGGGCTAGGGATATATACATATATCCCGATATATATACATATTCATATTATTTATTTGATGCGAAACAGCCCTGAAGGACTACACAACTATGAAAGTGGTTTATTTTTCAATTTCCTCTTTTCTGCCCATCTCTGCTTGAGGATATCGCTAAATTTTTTCTTCCTCTCCTTCCTCCACTTCCTCCTGGACTGAAGTTCCTTATATATATATATATATATAACCTATGTACGTTACACTAAAATTGAATCTGAATAGAATCTTCATGACAAAAATTTATTTATTTTTCTTAATTTGGAAAAAGAAAAAAAAAAATCAATTGATACATAATAACCTATACTATGCACTGCAAAGGTAGGAAACAATAATTTAAAAAAATGTTAAGAACTTTTTTATCTGCCCCTAGAGCGCTTTGGCAAGAACCGTCAGGTGTGGGTATAATATTTTTCAACTTTGAGTCATCAAAAAAAGTTTCGTTGTAGTCAGTGACCCCACATCCTTAACCTCCCTTGTTCAATTAAATATATTTTTTTATTGATTATGTTGTTTATAACCTTATCATCGATAGTAAATAAATCATTGTAGATATTCCAACATCAATATTAATTTCATAAATGCTCTCGTAATCCTTCATAGTCTTATTCGATAGTTGAAATGATTTTGTATTACAGTTGACTGATTATTTGGGCTGTGATATTTGAATAAAGCTCTTGTTTGTGTTGGTTATGTCACCATTTGAAAATGATGAAAAAAACATAATTAGTTTAAAAAAAAAAAAAGTTTCTGATTTTCATTTTGATGCTGGTGCCATTACTAATTTTAAGAATTCTTCTTTAGTTCATATGCTCATTTAATTTCGGAATATTTTTTAGTTTATGAATTCTTATGACACCTCTTTTTAATATAGAATATTACCTTTATTTTTCAAATTATTTATTTATTTCTTATCTCATACCCGGATGATTATTTTTTATGTCCACAATGCTTCTTGTTCCATCTTATCTATTAATTTCATATATATTTATTGTTTTCTATGGCAACAAGCTTTCACCCTTTGTTAGATATAGGCAGCAGACAGGCTAGTCACTAAATCCTTTTTATTAGTTGTGAGCTGTAACAAAAACTTTGACTATACCAAGTTGGTTCTGGTGCCAAACTCAAAATATTTTTTTTTTTTTTTTATTAAAAAAAGTAGATCTGAAATGGTTATGACACTACTAATTTATTCAAGAGATGATAATAGTCCATTTACCATATATGTTTATGGGTAGAAATTATTTAGTCAAATTTTAACTTGATACAATTTCATTGTCAGAAGTTCGAAATTACAATAATAATACTTAATTAATATGGTTTAATAAGAACGTGTAACTTTAAATGAAAGAATAGGAAAAAAATTGTCATTTTGTGTTCTGTTCATATCTGTTTTCTTATCCTCTCTTTTTTTATTTATTTTTTTCCCAACCATGGTTCATCAAAACTTTCCAAATTGGCCATTCCTGCAGTTGAAAATTATCCTCAAACGCTGTCACCTATGAAATTCGCTCAAAATCTGAATTCATCTAGTAAATCACTTACTACATAAAATCTAACTTTCAAAGTTTTGTTTAAATTGTCTCTCTTTTGGCCATCTTTACTTTATATTTATTTAATTGATAATGTTTTTGTTAGCCAAACTATGTTTTTTGAAAATATTTTGTGTTTTCACCAACAAGAACATATGTTTCTTCTAAAACTGGAGTATTTCATCACTATATGTTATATATATTTTCTTAAAGATATACTGCTTACAAAAAAAATATATATTTTTTTTAAAGTATTTAGTTGACCGCCTGTCTGGATTTTGGTTAATTTTTTATGTTATCGAATTTCTCCAACCCTCTCATTTTACTACCAGTTTAATAAAGATTGAGAAATTTGTATTTATTTGTTTATTTTTTTATCAGTTGTTTCTAGCTTATTAGGTTTTAATATACTCAGTTTAATTATTTTAATTAATATATTTAAGATTATAAACATCTCTTCTTGTTGGTGGAATTTTCTTTTCCCCAGTTATTTACTTAGCATTGACAGTCACCCAAAGAAGGAATAAACATTAAGTATAAGTTCTATATTAAAGTGCATTCTAATGTTTCAAAAATAGTCTTTTTTTTTTGCAGTGAAAGAAGAAATAAGCATTAAGTATAAGTTGCATTAAAGTTATCAAGTTCATCCTAATGTTTCAAATATAGTTATGTTTTAGAATATAGTTACTTTATACAACTAGCCTACTCAATCGGTATGGAAGAACTATTTTCAGTCGTGCCACTAAATAGCAAAGCAGTTTTATTTCTTGTTATTTTTTGTATTATAACTTACAATACATTTTTACATGATTTGTTGCGAGAATTATTTATTTATTTGTTGACGGGGATTAGCCGCCTGTTGGCCTCAACTCATCGTAATGATGAATAGTTAACAAATAATTTAAGAAGTAATCTGTTATTAATGAAGGAAAAATGCTGTTGATTAATTTGAAGCTTTTCTTTATGATGTAATAAAAAAAAAATGTTAAGAATGTAACGTTCTTACATTATTGATGCTTGAGATTAGTTATTTTAGGATTAAATGATCTAGGAGTTTTTATCGATCACAGGGTCTCTGAATGCTAATGAATTATTGCTGAACAGTGGTTAAAGTAATGAGATTTTTATGGCATTTTTCTTAGTAACTTTTACCAGTATTGTTGGTATGGTGATAACTGTTATCTACTCATAGATTTATTATTCCCATTTATTATATCAGGAATAGATCTATTATCTATTTATCTTATAAATTATGTGGAATTTCAAAGGCTTTAGGTATTGAGTACAAAAGGGCCAAACAGTTAGATATATATATTATTATTATTATTTTTTTTCATTACAGACCATTTAGATCTTTGTTGCCTTAACAAGCCTGCTCCATCTCTGCCTGTCTTGGGCTGTTTCTTTTCAGTTATCCACAGGCAGCTCTATTGCATCTTTGTTCATTCTATCTATCAATCTGCCTTTTGGCCTTCCACGTGGTCTTTTGCCTTCTATTGAGACATTCATTGTTACGTATAGACTTACAGATGGATTGCTATGAGCTACATGCCCTGCCCATCTTAACCTCCGTGTCTTCATATCATGGGGTATTGATTGACCAGATTCTGTAAGCAGTTCTTTATTAGTCTTTCTTCTCCACATGTTAGTATTCTGATCCCAGATCACTCTGTTAATTGTGCAGAGGATTTTTCTCTCAAATCTTTCAATACTTTTTTTCTATGGTGCTAGTTAGTGTCCAGGTCTCACAGGCATATATTAGAACTGGTTTTATCATAGCATTGTATGTACACTCTTATTTGAGATTTATGAAATTTCAGTACCTTTGAAAGGGAGAAGAAAGCCCTGTTTGCGCTGGTTTTACACTGGTCTGTTTCTGCCCATTGGTAATTCATTAAGGTCATTGTGAAGCCGAAGTTTTTGAAGTGGAATTTTCGGCTTTCGGCTTATTATCATATATTTTGTTTTGTCTTTACTTATTTGTTGGCCGATATGCTCTGCCTCTCCTATCAGAATCTCCTTCTTCAGGCAGCTATATTATCTGCGAATCCAAGGATTTTATGATTCATTTTGATGTGGATCCCTCCATTTTCCTGTGATGTTCTTATTATATTCTACAGGGCTAAGCTGAACAACATTAGTGATAGTCCATCTCTCTGCTCTTAACCCATTCGAACATTAAAGGCTTCAGATACTTCTCATTGTATTAGTACTCTACTTTTAGGATCATTTGTACATACCTTATTCAATCTAGCCAACTTAATAGGAAATCCCAATTCAGTAATGATTTTTCAAAGACATATATATATATATTGATAGTACATGCATTTCCTACTATCGACGTAGGAATTTCAACACACACATTTTTTTGTATTTTTTTTTTTATTCAATTATAAGTAACTGTTTATTTTCATATATATATTGTATATATATATGTTGTGCAACCCTGAAATATAATTTTGTTCATAGTTCAAATGATTCGTTCATAGTTTTAATTGTTTTATTCATAATTTTAAATGCTCTGTACATAGTAGTATCTGTATTGTATATAGCTTGTGCACCTAAGGTTTTCTTTACTTTTTATTTTATTTTATCAATTTCATTTATTGTTTCAACGTTCAGGCCAGTAATATTCTATTATTTTGTACATTATTGTTATTCTGAAGGGACTTAGTCCCAGAATAAAGTTTTTTTTTCTATCTATCTATCTATCTATATATATATATATGTGTGTGTGTGTGTTAAAGAAAATGGTTTCACTTTAAAAATGAGGGAAAATTAAATAAAAAAAAAGCGAATATAAAAATGTAACAAACCAACTGGATAGGTGATGATAATAATTTGAAAAGTGACCAGTCTCCAGAATTTTGGAGAGTTTGCCATCCTACAACGCTGTACAATTTTCTTTTTCTTGTAAAGAATATCATTGAGAAATATCATCTAGGGAGCGTGTTACTAAAATGTGCTACACTATACGAAAAAGCTTATCCTAAAAGCCTAAATTATTGGGGTTTTTAAGGCATTAATGTGTATGTGCCATTCTTATTTCAATATATAAATAGTTTGTTATTTATTTATTACTTATTATTCACCTGGTTTGTTGCTGAATTTAAATGAATAATATTATTATATGTATGAAAACTCCACCAAGGGTATTTTTTAGAAATTCAAACTCTACATGAAAAAAGTGGTTCTGCCATGGGTTTCCCTGTTATAATACTGCTCTATTGAATTATAAATGAAAATTTGACTTTAAAAAAAAAAAAAAAAAATTACGACGTGGGAATCCATCTGCTCGAAATGTTCTTATAATATCTTACAAGTACAGTAGATAATTAATTAATCATTGTTTCCATTTTTACAGTAGTATATTAAAACATGGGTAGTGGGGTAGCTCAGTGGTAGGGCACTGATCTTCCAATCCTCGAGGTCTTCGGTTCAAATCCCGCCTCATGGCAGAAAATTTATTATTCTGTTTCATTGGCCGTGGGGCGACCCTGAATTACGAGACCCTCTTGGGGCACACCCAGCCTCTATAAAGTGGGTACGATTAATTTAATGATTAATTAAGGGGGAAAATCTGGCGGTTGAGCGTTATCTCAGTCATATACTTAACCTAAATAGTACTGAACCCAACCCAAGACCCTTCATGGGTTGTAGTGGTACAGGTTTTTTTATTTTTTTTTTTTTTATATATATATGTATATTAAAACATGCTATAAAGTCATAATTATTGTTATCTGATAAATTAATTAATAACTGTCAGAAATAAATGTATAAAGAATTATTTATACATTTTATAATAAAAAATACAATTGTAATAAGAATTATAAATAATGAATAATAAAAATAAAGGATTTAATAAAAAAAAAAAAAATATTAAAAAAAGGTGAAACAAATTTATAAAAATGCCTAATATGAGGATAAAAATAAATTTGATGAATCTTGCTTATGTTAGATGGATCAAATGATAACAAATCCAGGCATGACGAGTAAAATTCATAAGCTTTTGCCAAAAAGTATTGCGAGTGATTACGTCAATTGCTGTAATTCCAAAGAGCTGGCTCGCAAGCAAACTCAACACTCTAAGGCAATATCTAACATGCAACTCTAATGTAAATACTGCAAGTAGGTCCGTGTCACAACAGCCAACAAGGTTCCCATACTTCTTGAAAAAGGGGATCAAGTCTTTCTTACATTGTAATATTTACACTAGGTTGTAAGAAGTTCCATTGCTTCAATCTTGAATCCAAAAGTCCTGCTTTCTCTGTGGGCAGATCCAGGTCCAGAATCAAGTCACTGAGTTCAGCTTGAATAAGGAAGTGTGATTTTTGTTCTTCTTGTTCCAAAGAAAAATCAGAATCATCTGATGGGGTTCCTCCTAGGGGCTTTTCATCTTCATTATCCTCGTCCTCAATCAAGCCATAGTGTTCAGGAGACCTTCGTCCCCGTGTAGTATTGATTATATTGCAGAAGGAATGTCAGGGTACTTAACTTTCTAATTCTTTTTTTGTAACATTCCATAATGAAGCAGAGAGCAGTTGTAGCAGTTGTCAGTGCGATTAGCAGGCTTCCTATACACCATGGGAACAGCAAAACGCATAGAACAATCTTTCTTATTCAACCATCCTCTTAAGATTACGCTACATGTGATGCAGCATATGTGCGGGGCCCACACAACGAATTATTTTGGCCACCAACCATTATCCCAATATATTTGTGGTATGCTGTCTTGATCATCTGGGTGGTAGAACATTTTTAACTTGCAAAGATCACTTCCCACAAATGTAACAAAAGTTGTCAGGAGCATTCACATACTTCCAGAGCATTGTAACTTCACCAAAACTAATGGGTTACCACAACAAAATTGTTGAAAGAATGCCTGAAGCTAGAAAAACCATGTCAACAGGAACTTGAAACGTAAACACTGGCATACAACTGTCAGCAAAATGGTTCTGTGATTCACAGACAGAAATCAATCCTACCAACCCAGGAGCAGGAAATTTCGCCTTATTACGCAAAAAGTAACTATATCTTTGAAACTAGAGCTAACTGATGGTTTTATGTGGAAATTCGAATTTCTCACTCCAAAAAAAAACAAAACATAAGACTGTTTTCAAGTGAGATACAATATCAATGTAGAGCAGTGTAATCTTTTTGATTGACTCTTTAATTGTCCACGATTTGGCCAAATAGACTTTTGTACTTTCTTGGAACAATTTATAAATAATTTTTTGTGAAATTGATGGTAATTGAATAGAAAATAAGTTTCAATAAGTAGATAAAAAAAATATTTTTGTAACAAATAAAAAATTCATGCATATTAGGAATGCTCCTGCTCTGACTATGTCGATTGGCTTTGCTGCATACGAATTCCAAAACGACAGGTTGTTAATCTGGATCATTAAATGGCAATCAGCATGTCTTAGTGGGTACAATCTGCAATCTCTGTGCAGAAGTTTTGTTTTTCACTCAGTCTTAAGAAAGAGAACGACTACTATAATAATGCAGCTTATTACCATTCAATTCAGTACAGTTAAGTTGTAGTTTTAAGTGCGAGTGTGAAGGAAAGAATCATGGCCAAATGAACACTGACCACTATAACTTTCTGTTAAAAACTGGATATTTTGGTTGTAGCTTAATCTATTTTGTTTACATACAGGGGAAGTAAAGGACTGAGCACCCCGGGCCCCTCTTTATACAACAATTAAATAAATTATCTGTAAATCACAGATAAATTTATAGTTCATTTTAAAGAGTGTAATAAAATTCAAAATTATAAATTGAATGATTTAAAAAAAAAATTAATTAATCATTTTGTTCTGTTAGATAAAATATTTAGTTATTTCTTAGTTCTTTTAAATTCTAATACATAATTTTAACTAATCATTAGGGAGGAGGAAGAGGTGGGAGCAGAGGAGGAGGAAATGCCAAGTGGTTGCCTGTTCCTAAAGAAGAAGAGCTGGGGTTGTCCCAGGCACTGACACCACCCGTAACACCCCGTAATCCTGATACAGCTGCTGTTACTGGCACTACGAATGGACCTGACGACGTCGTCCAGTCGATCCAAGGACTTTCACTCTAGTCTAGAGCTGTTGCCTGGCCGGACAGTATAAGACACGATATGTCTATATACCTCACATCAGATAACCTTCATTCTGCAACTATCAACTTGATCTCATTGAAGAAAAAAACCCCAAAAAAAACTAAAATAGTCCTTTGTTTTCTCTTAAATGCAAGAGAATCTGCATAAACTTGTTTATAAATATATACACATAATATATGTAAAATAAATTTGAAAACAATAACTGCTTGTTTTCTGTTATGACTTTAAATTTTTAAGCTCAAACACAACACACCAAATATTTGTGAAATCTAGTCCAATACAGGACTCATTGAGAATAGAGACTGTTTGATATAATTGTAAATATTATATATATGACGTTTACCTATTAACTTAAGCACATTGTTGTAAAATAGTGCCATTTTTTTTTTACTGTATGGATCTTGAATTATTTCACTATTTAGACTTTATCAGACTTTTTCTACCTTAAACGAAAACATTATTGCTCAAAATTGGTGATAAAATTTTATGAAAGTAGAATTTTGGGTTTATAAAGGTTTATAGTTTCTCAATAGAACACTGTAGTCTCATATAGATAATTCAGTTTTAATCTCCATTTGAATTTTTTGCAATCCAAAAGTGTAACAGTTATAAAATGGCAAGGATTAACACTTGTACCTGTTAACGCTATTGGAATTGGCTAGTTAAATTGTTTTAAAAGACATTATCTTGAAAAGAAAGATGTACTTATACTGAAATTTGTATGAATGAGTTGGCAGTTGTTTAAGTGCATTTCTGGTCTTTGTGATAATACCAGTCTATTAAAGTATCTAATAAATGTATAAAAAAAATATAAATATATATTTAGTTATATATAGATGATGATTTAATATATTTTGGTTTAAATGTATGTTATATATTTATTCTTCTTTAATGTTAATGTTAATATAATATCAAGTAGTTATTTTGATCTGTTTTCTTAATTGGTTTGTAATAATAATGATTACTGTCATGTTTGGTATCTGTTAACGTTCAATTAATAAATTATATTGGTTTGAATTCTGTAAATGTAATGTTTGTTAAATCTAATTGAGATAATTGAAATGTGATCATTATTATTACATTATGTATTTGTTAGGATTTTTAGATAAGTGTACAGTTAAGAAATGTTAGTTGTTACTGTTTTTCTCCAAATTTGTTTACAATTATTAGTCTGTAAATTGTTCCAACCATTAGGCTTTTTTTGATACAGTTTACCATTTTTAGTTTTTCATATACTTGCTTTTTTGTCGTAAAATTTATAACGATAAAGAAAGGAATAGAATCAGTAAACATGGTCATAAGTTATTTTTTAGTGATATTGTACATTTCTGGTGATTGTGTTTCTTTTTGTTTAGCTCAATTTTCAGATTTGTGTGTCTCAAGTTCCTACTTATCTATTAAATTTAATAGTATTTGTTCTTGATAAGTGCAGGTACCCTTAACTGTTAAAAGGTTACATGCCTGTTTCTGAAAAGACAAGGTTTATTGTCTTTTCAATGCCTCAGGTCTAAGTGAACTAGTCAAGCACAACATTTTATGAGTAAGCTACATTAATTGTAAATACTTATTTTACCATTAATCTAGTGTTGTTGGACAATATTTTGATGTGAATATTACGTGAGTGTAGTCAAGTGCGATAAGACAACACAATAAAGACATACTTGGAGTTCATAATGCTACAAGTGAATAATGGTTGTGTTTATTCAAAAACTATTTAAATCAACAGCACTCAAAAAAAAAAAAAAAAAAAAAAAAAACATGGAAAGAGGCTGTGATTTTTAAATTTTATTCGTCATAATATTTTATGATAAATAAAATCTGAATTTAGAACTTAGAGGAAAGTAATGTAAGTAAAATATTTTCCCATCTACAGAATTTAATGTGACATAAAAATGTAACCTAATCCAAGGCTGAAGATATTCACCCTTACTGCCAATGAAAATGTCTTGTACTTTCTTATAGCAATTTTTTTTCCTTTTTTTTTTTTTTTAATGAAATAACTTGTATTCAATGTACATTTTGGATATTGCCGATATTCTACTAAATTCATTCAGAAACTTTGTTTTTTTTTGTAATTTCTGTAATTTAGTTCATATTTTTGTATTTATAGGCTTTGCAGATTTAATTACCTGCAGATTTTTGGGAAAATAAAAAACAATATTTCATTACGAAGTGTATTTAATCTGTAGTTCGTTCTCCTTTTTTTAACAATGACTTTTTACCATATTTCTGGCAGCATCATCATTCTATATATGTTAAAATTGTGATATTTTGTTCCAAAAAAGTGATCCAAGTGTGTTTTAACATCACCGTCATTGATAAATATTTTGCTATTTAAAAAGTTATTCAATGAACGAAATAAATGGTTATTTAAGGTGTTTTCAAGGAATGAATTTTTCCACTTATTTAGGTTATTACGTGTTGAGCCAGTTAGCTCATTTTAAAGCTATCAAAAGTTCATTACATGCCTAACAAGTTGCCATATTACACAATCCAATATCAATTTCAATTCATAAACCTGATTTTAGGTAGTTCCTCCTCTTCTAATGATTAAAATAATTCTATGAAAAGATTTTAAGGGTAATTTGTTTCTTGAAAACAACATCTTATGTAATTACATTAAAATGGTCTTGTAAAATATAGTGCTGAAAAGAAAACTAACTACAGAAATGCATAGTGGATGTGGCAACACGACCCAACCTAGCTCCAATAATTTTTGCTCGGTAGACAAAGCGTTGTTCGTCTTTCTGTGAAAAGTCGCTAAAATTTTGACACTGCTTTTCTTTTAATATTTTGGTATTGTACACAGCACATAACTTTTTGTGTGTTTGTGAAGCAGTTTTCCTTTATGAAAGTAATGAAGGAGAATATGTGGAAAATGTGCACTTTGAGCTTTCATTTCAAACAGAATTTGAATATCAAACTGTAAATTTGATTATCGAAATATTTACTTGGAATTATAGAGGTATGAAATGCAAAACAACAACAATAAGGAGATCAAATTTTCTCTAAGTATACAAAGATAGCATTGTTAGTAAAATCCACAAGTTTCCAACCCTATAGTTACTTGGTCAAGACATTTTTGAGACCGCAGTTTTATAATTAGTGGCAAAAATTATAAGCTTTCAAAAAATCATTAATTGATGGTGCCACCTAATATTGGTTTGACACATTTTTTTTTTTTTTTTTTAAAGCTGTTAATAATTTTGATCAAACTTATTGCAATGTACAATTAAAGAGTTTTTATTACCAGGTAGGTATTATCCCTATTAAAACAGTGGCACTTTAAGCGAGTAATTTTCAAAGTGGCTTCCTCTAAGGTATACCAAGTTTTCTTTTTTTGAAATAACTAACAATCTCTTTTTATTATTAGTAATAAAAAGAATATAAATTATAGACTATGAAAGAATTTGATTATAATAAGGAGAAATATTTTTTCAGGTAGAAAGAATATTTGAGGCAATAACAGTAGTATTAGAAATCTATTATATACCACCGGAAACCTAAAGATTTTAGGAAATTAGTATATAACATATGAAGGTAATGAAAAACTAATTACTAATAATTTCTGCTTATTATGTAATGGAAATATATAAATTCGGCAAGCCAAAACTATATACAATACACAAAATTATAACACTGCAATTGGTTAACAAATTGTTTCATACAGTATTTAGGGGTGGAAAAAAATAAATAAATCAGTATGTTTCTCATAATAGCGGCCGAATGTCAATTGTCTGTACCTCCAACTTAATGCACTCTAATTCTAAACTTGATCTAGGTTTTCCTGATGATACATTACTTTCAAGTTTCATGTCACCTCATCTGAATTTTTTTAATCCAAACTAGTGGTGGGATGTATAGTAGCAATCTGTTTAATTTAAACAGTTTCTTTCATTAAACAGATATAGTAAACTGCTTCACTCTAAATTAAATACATTCAAGGATTACCTTCCATTAGGAAGAGGCAGGTTCTTACGATCAGCCCTGAATTCAACTATGGCATGAATATATCTCTTAACTGAGCAAAATGATGCCATCGGTAAACTCAGCAGTGAATTTAGGAACTTACCCAAGCCATCTCATAGTACAGGTTTAGTAGGTGAAGACAGTGGTACTGACAGGAAAAGAGGAAAACACTGAATCTGTTTAATTTATAAAGATACAGAAATCTGTTTCATTCAATAGCTTCTTGCAACAGGTACGTAAACAGTTTTCTGAAACTGATACAGCTCTACTGTACTTTCCAAATTTTTTAGTAGTTGTTTCAATGAAACAGCAACCATTGCACTTTTTGCAAAGAGCTATGCAGTTTCTGTTCAATGAACAGTTTAATACACCCATTTTCTATCTAATTACTATTTTCTCATTATTTTCATCAATAAATTTACTTATTATCTTCAAAATATGTTATATGGAATTAATTTAACAATTAAATCGATAATTACCTGGGAGATAAAAATTAATATTCATATATCTTTTAAAATAGTGTAAAGGTAGCAAAAGACAAGGTTTTTTTTTTTTTACTCCTGTCAAGTTTTGAAACACTTGTATCTGTTGTTTTTTTTAAGTAGTAGAAACTGTTACAACTGCTACTCATGATAAACATTTTTGCCCATCACTAATGTAAACCCACTCGTTCTCTACAAGAACATACTTGTAGCAATGGAAGCTCATGGGGTTCTACCAAAATAAATAAGGAAATGAAAATTTAAAACCTTAAATAATTTAACAAAAATATTGATATTTTCCAGTTTAGACTTAAAAATGCATGGTCTCTTTTATAGGTAATTAATTTATAAAATGACATTTTGATGGACTCATGCTTTGAAGGAGGTAGTTGTCTGAATTTATTTAGAAGACTTTCCTTTCTCATTGAGTGTAACATCCTAAATTTGTATATTTATAAATGATTTACCTGTTGATGAATTATAAGCTGGTTGAAGAAATAAATAAAACCGAAATCTTCAGTGTGAAGTAGGTGGGCTACCATTGATTGGTATAAGTATTTTTATTTCATTGGAAAACAGGGTATCGGCACTAGTACTGAAAAGAGTACAGTTTAGGCATAATTGCTCACCAGTTTGGCTCTAAAATATGTTATACTCATATAATTCCACCAAAATTTTTATGTTAAAATTTTTTTTTCTCTTTTACAGCAAATAAAGGTAGTAAAGTCCTTCTCAAAGAAATTATATTTCACTTAGATTTTAAAGGTGTAAATGAAACCTGATAATCATGCGGGGTGTGGTGTTTGTTAATAGTTGTAAAGGGCAAACCCAATTCAGCCTACAATTCTATTGTTACAAACTTCTTGATTCTTTGACCGATATCTAAACTGCGTTATCCAATGAACTCTCAAGGTTTATATCATCATTTCTATACCTCTTAAACAAAACATGCCCAACCCAAATTGAAAATCCCCTCCACTTCATTAATGTCACAAATAATATTGGTTGGGAGGTATCTTTTTTTTTTTTACAATGATGGCACTAACTTCTATGAATTACTAAACAATTCCATAATTTTATAAGTTTTATTAAAAATCATATTAGACATTTTATTGAGAAGGATTTAAAAGGAAAACCACATAGGCTTTTATTCATTCCTTAGAGCAGTTTTTATACTTATGTAGTCTCTGGGCATCCTCTTGAACATTTTTTTTTTTTTTTTTTTTTGGACCTCAACCTAACCCAAGGTATTTTACAGTTTTATGATAATAACTAGTTTAGTAAAAACAAATACATGAAGTCTTCCATAAAAATCTATGTAGAATGTTTATTGAATGAGTTACTTGGCTAAATTTAAAAGTTACTGGATGTAAAATAAATGTCGAATTGGTTTCATGAACTCCCAGTGATGGCTATATAAACCCTAATTTAAGTAACTAATTTAGAGGAAACAGTATTATATGAGAGAGGTTATATATATAAAAAGGTTTAAAAAACAAAACAAAACAGTTTATTTACATTAAGAATCAGTCAGTCAATATAAAAAATAAATAATTAAAAACTTAATTACAAATTATCCTTAATAGTAACTATTGTATTTAAATCTTATTAGGAAATATTAAAAACACATTTATCATTGTATTTTAGGAGAAAATTATTGTGTCAGGCTGCTTGAATTTTTTGCAACAGATTAATAAAATCAAATAACTAGTACCAAAGTGGACATCCCCATAGTTTTTAAGGTGTGAACAGACTTAATGCAGGAAGGCTTTCTAAGTTGAGTTTGTTTTTTTAGGACATCAAATTTGATGAAGGGGTCCACTTTCAAATTTATAAAATTTCATTTTGTTTTTAAAAAAAAGTTGCCATTCCCAAATGTTTTTAAAATTAACTATAGGAATTCTACAGTCATTAGTTGTTTTCTTTAAGGATGATTTATTTAAAAATTCACCTTATGCCATAAACGAAGTAATAATTCAGCCATGACTCAAGTTTAAAGCTTTGATTATAACAATGAAAATATGTTTTTTCAGCAGTTATGTCCCTAATTTGTCATTTTGAAATTACTAACATAAGCTTTATTCTTAAAAATTATAAAAGGAATTATACATCTATGAATTTTTTCATATTAAAAAAAATACATTCGTCGCTTATATACATATATCACTCTTTGGCTTTATAGAAGATTGTTAATATGATTAATATACAGTTTTAAGTTGTTTTTAATATAAATTTGAATAAGAATCCATAAAAGATACTAGTACTGAAATTTTTTAAATTAAAATATGATAATAAGATATTGCTCATTTCAGTTTATTTAAGGAACTCAAAACAAATCACATTTTTACAATATTTAATCACATTAATACTTAAAATATTAATGTAGACAAGAATGTGACATAAAATGTTTCTTACTGGTTAACTTAATTGACCATGGCTGCTAGTGATGTAGAACTTGTGGATACTAAATTAATCTCAAACATATAAAACTACCATCTAAACTATATTAAAATATCGTCAATTGAGCAAATATATATATCTATATACAATAAACAGTTTAAATTTTACTATATCACTCAGTCTTTTGTGATGAATAATGTGACACATCTGTATGGACCCTATGAACTATCTCTATAATATTTTTTTAAGGTTATTAACAACTGGAAATTTCTGCTAACTTTTAGCTAAAAATAAATGTTAATAATTTGCTACTATTATTATGATAAGATAGTTAACCAATAAAAATTGAATTTTTAAGGCTTTAGTTTTTTAATTTAATTTCTTTACATTAAACGTGCTTATGATTATGAATATAGGTCTCGAGAAATATTCAATATTTGTGAATGAAACATGCTATTATTACTCATCATTCCACCTTCATCTCTTAATTTTAACTACATGAATATCGAGACTGCTTCTTTTGCTCACTTGAGGCAATTCCCCGCCTTTTTTTTCATGCCGATTTTATATTTTAAAAAATATTATGGTAATATTTAGAAAAACCTACTTTATCCATGAAGTTTATTTTAAATGTTAGTACAGCAATGATAGCCAGTCATTTACGTACTTCCTAATACGTCATTTTCTTTTTATTATATATATATTTAACATTCTTGTTGCACTCATACCCTGCTTATTTCACATGTTCCAGTTTTAATATCTATATGTTTTGGTAACATTTCTTGACAACAGGTAGATTTTTTGTCTTTCAACTCTTCCGTTTTTCTTTTAATTGTTCCGATCAGTAGACGTGAATATACAACCAGAAAGTAAAGCAAGAGTAATGTAAACAACAGCAATCCCCACCTTAAAACTACTTGCATCCTCTTCACGGTAAATGTGGAATGATAAATAATGTTGTACAATTCTGGAGGCATTTCTTCTGCTGACTGAAACATACATATTCTTATTATTATTGAGCACTATTTATGCCCTCTTAGATATTTCAAGTGGTGTGAGGAATATTTCTGGTGATGAAAACAATTAGTTTGATAGAAATTTACCTTGAACCTGCTTTCTCACGAGAAACAAGTAAATTTTAGTTGACATTTGCAACACTTATTTTTACAATTTTTTTCATTCATCTGACTCAGATTCCACTCTGGTGACTTATTAATAAGATTTTGTTTGCCATACATGTGTATCAAAGTTTTTGAGAATCTTTTTGTATTTATGAAAACACTGGCATTCCTATTGGCCATTTCCAAATTTTTTTTTTTTTTTATATCTATACTAAAAATATTTGCTGTATTTAAATAGATAGTTTTTTGTAAATGTAAATATCTGTGAATATTTTAAAATAAATGTATCATCTTTCAATTTAGAGATATAATATCTTCAATATGATTTCTTAAATTTGAATGTAAAAATATATTTTTCAAAAGGCTACAAAAGCACTTACTTTTTTAGTTTTTTGTAAATGTAAATATCTGTGAATATTTTAAAATAAATATATCATCTTTCAATTTAGAGATATAATATCTTCAATATGATTTCTTAAATTTGGATGTAAAAATATATTTTTCAAAAGGCTACAAAAAATGTTTTGGTTCAAGCAGATCCAATGGGAGGTGGGAGGCTTATAAGGTTTTATTTTTTAAGTTCCAAATAAATTAAATATAAAGTATCTATAATATTACATATAGTCGGTACTATGTTAAAGTAACAAATATGAAAAATCACATCTTTACTTTCACATACCTATATATGTAATATATAGTAAGGATAAGTATTGCAACCGTGTAAATTTTTGAATCTGAGTTTTCAATGGAAATACACGTTTTGAGGTTCCCAGAGGTCAAATACCCAGGTCCCACAAAATAGTCTGTGTGTGTATCTATGTATGTGAACAGCCTAGCTCAGTTCACATGTTTTTCATTAATTGAAAATTTTGATTTTTAAAAATTATGTCAGACTATGCTTAAACCAAAGAAGATGTTACCTAAACATCTTTGAAATATTTTAAAGTAAACAACAAATTTCATTTATGTTGAGTGTACAATGATCTCACATTGATATTTAAATTAAAATTAATATTGTAAATGTATTTATCCAAAAGGCCATAGTAAGCAAATCTGTTACTGGCCCTCTGGTTGTTATTAAAATTATCCAAGTTTCATTTTAGTGGCCCATCACCAATTGGAAGTCTGGACACCGAAGCAGAAATATCCTATACACACAGACATTGGAAGGATATTTACTGGTGACCAATATTAGTTCGTGATACTGGTCACTGCTGTTGTCCCCATCTGCAGGGGCTACAGATGAGTCAGCACAGAAAAACATTTTGAAAAGAATTTCAAAATGTAAATTTTAATTTAAACAAAATTATTCTAGTTACAATTTACTATTTAATAAGCAATACAATTTAGAATTACCACTTGTATCCAGAAGAGAGGAAGTATGAGGTTATTGGGAAATTCTTTCAGTAAGTTGGTGTATTTACTTTTTTCAATCCTCATATTCATCTGAAGTCTGGAAACTGTACCCAAAGTGAAACCAAGTAACTAAAAATGAATTTAAAGATAAATATGAGTTATAATTTTTATTTTACTAAAGAAAAATATTGTTATGAATCCCAAAAGAGTAAAATAATACAATTGTGATGTCAAAGAAATTATAAATGTATATTTTATTTTTTTATCCTTATTACAATTTAACTAGAAAGATATTTTTAAAATTCCTTCTTGAACAAAGAAAATTAAAATTAATTTATCTTTAAACTTTTGAAGTTCATGATGAATATTATTATGAATATTTATGTTTACATGAAGAAGTATTAAAAATCATACCCTCTGAATGTCGATGTAAAATTCATGCTTTTCAGAATCAGGATGAAGACCTTCAAAAGGCTCACTAATTGACGGATCAGCATTTAAGAAATGTGGAAAAGAAACTAAAAGTGGAATACCTGAAAAAAAAAGTTAGATTTTAAATATCAATGCTATCAAAAGAGTTCTAGATCAAAATGCAGTTACAACATTTCCATTTTTCTTCACAAAATCATTTTGAACGGAACAAAATTCATTTTGTTGTGATAAACACTCTTTAAAATTGTTATAACTCACAATCTGTGACAAGAAGTGATATGATCCAAAACATTTGTTAATTAGATTTCTTGTAAAAAATAATTTGCAATTCTTATGCAATATGAATTTTATTAGATAATGGACAAAATGCATTTTGACCTAGAGCTCCTCATATAGTCTGTAATAACCAGATTCTGGTTCCATTTATTTATAGATGAATCAAATCCTGCTACATAAGGAATGTGCTATATTTTTTTATAAACAGCCCTATTGATTTAATATTTTAAATAAGAGGAGAAAAACACAGAAATCTTATTTGCAACAATTAAATTAAAAGGAGTAAAAGAGCAGTCTTCAAAGAATTTTCTTATTCGGGTTACAAAAGCTTTTGGTAGAGTGCCTGATGCCAATCTATTATTCATTTACTTCAAGAAGTCATTTGTATCTTTTTAATTAAATGATAAAAGACTTTTTTTTGTCTCCCCCTTTGTTGTCCTTTAGGCTAAACAGGATTTTTCCCTTGGCGGGGGAGAGAGCGAGATAATTATGCTGAGTTAAAAGTTCCCCTGGGCACTGGGATTTGAATTCGTAATTTTTTTTTATCTCCAAATTCTGTTACCAGGTTGCCAGGCAATAAGCAGTGATGTGCACGTGTATGAGCTAGCTCGTTCGACCACCTCACCCCCCGACGTTAAAGGACCAGACTAATTTATTTAGTAAAAAAATGGTGATAACAGTAGAGGAACTTTAGTTAAAAATCAATGACCCAAATATGTAAGCCCTGTTTGTACTAAGAATGGTGATAGTTCTTCTTAATAGATAACATCAACAAAACACTTAGCACATTATGGTGAGATGAAATGCTAGTGCTATTTTTACGTATCACATAAGCTTGAAAAGCAACATATTCATTTAACTACTATCATATATTTCCAATTACTTTACAAATTCTAGTTGGTAGGAAAAAAAATTGGATAGTGCCATAATAGATTATTTAAAAAAGAAAATTGTAATAACATTAATAAAATTACATTAAGATATTTATCTTTGGTTATACCTTTCAGAATATAAATTAAATTAGATAGAATAATATCAATTGATTTACCACTTTCATTTGGTTTACCACTTTGATGAGCAAATTTTGAATAAAGGGATCTGAAGGTTAACACTGAAGATTTTTGTAAGAAGTGAAATAAAATGATGAAAAAATAGTTGAAAAAATAAATTAAGACAAGCATTGTCAGCTAAATTTATTTATTTTTTTAAATTATTTTAAGTACGGAAGTATTTGTATATGAATAGCAGTACTAAGCACAGTGCCTGCTTGGATCACCAGGCCACCTTGAAAATGTAGGTATAACTAAATTGTTTAGAGACTCTTCCTAGAATTTTGAATATATTAGAAATTGAGTGTTTAACAAGAATAGAAGATATTAATAATTAACAACTGACTATTGGATGAAACGGTAGTAAGTGAATAATTTATTGAAATATAAACTCATAATTAATTTTAGAATCATTCTACAAATGTATTATGATTAATAAAAAATAATTACTATATTATTATCTATTATTAATCACTTTACTCAATAAAGCACAACGATGGTACAGGTCTGTTATGGGGCATAAACAAAGCTTGGATATCTATCATATAATATACAAACATATAATAGAAAACCAATATATATGAGGTCAATTGGCATAGCAGTTTTACAATTAAATTATTATCAGTGAACAATATTATTGTATTGGTATAGTTATTTAATATAAAACAGATATCTTGGGGGAAAAAATAAACACAGACCCTCAACATTTGGTATATTTATGTTTAATGTTTTTAAGAACATACCTTCAGAACAAGGAGATAGATCAAACAGCCCATAAGGAGCACATCCGCTTTCTGGACAGTAGCAAGTACCATTGGTATTATAAACATCTGGTGCAGCATGAAAGCGCATGGCAGTCACGTCTCCTTGAAACTAAAATTTCAAATAAAAAATGAGAAAAAAACTAATGAACCTTTTATATTTTCCAAATATCATTAATAAATTCATTGATTAAAAAAATTGAATATTGCAGCAAAAATTAATGGATAATATTAATAAAACATAATGTAATCAGCTTATTTAAAAATAAATAAAATGTAAAAAAAAATTATAAAAAATCTTACTAAAACTTCTTTATCATAGACAAATGGCATTCTACGACACATATTGTTGTGGAAAAGGTAAAGAGTAACATTGTTGTTTAAAGTGTGCCTCGGAAAGAAAGCACCATCACTTCCGTCAATTCTATTGCATTCTTCTTCTGGCCATACATAGAGCCTATCTTCTCCATTTATTTCAGATACAATTCCAATGTTTTCAATATCATTTGTACCAGTCAAAACTGTAATAGTGTCATCAGTATCCGCGGCTCGCTGCAATGATATATTAACAAGTTTATGTAATAAATAACACAATAGATATCGATTTCATTTTATAATTTGAAAAAAAAATGGTTTGAACTTTGATCAGAGCTTTAGAAATAATTGTATGGATGAAATATAATCTTAAGTAAAAATATTATCAATATACTATAAAAAAAATTAAATTACCTGAGATAATATCCCCAACTTCTCAAAAGGAACATCTCTCTGAAGTAGCTTGGCTACATAGAGGCCTAGCTCAACAAGTTTATCATCATAGCCAAATATGAAATCATGTGCCTTTACAGTTATCATTGAATTGGAATAACGGAGCAGTGAGCGCAGAAAATATGAAAGTGCTATTTGAGAAAATCTATTCATGTCCTTTGTTACAGCAATAGTGCCCTGCAATAAATAAATCATGGATACAAAAGTATATTAAAACTCTATTTTATTTTATTTTTCCCAATACTAATTAGAACATACACAGCAACTTTTCTATTCTAGCCTTCAAATGAGATAAAATGACAGGATTTAAAACTAATTGCTGGTTATAATGTGTATGATGGATATATTTTCATTTTTATATTATTGACTCAGGTTTAAAAATACAAATGAATGATTTTATACAGAAACATGAGGTTTCATCACTGTACATAGCAGATCCTCATATGTGAGACCTAATAATTATTTCCCAGCAGATACTCAAAGCATATATCCAATTTTTCGCTCCATTTATCAAGTAGATTAATTATATTTTTAATCATAATTTACATTCCTTTATTATAATTAACTTATTATGCTAAGCAATTTTAAATAATTTAACTTACTAACTCTATAGTCCAGCACTATGTTAGGTTCCAACATATAACAATTTCCAGCCAATGCTGATACTCCTTTCTGACTTCCTCAATCTTAATTTTTCTGTTCCTCAGGTTCAAAAAAAGGGTTCTGGGAGGACGTTTTAGGTTGTGCTGTTTAAACAATCTGCATGATGTGTTCTTTCTATCAATGCCTTCTTTTGATTATTGCTGCTGTTTCAACATGAGACCCACCATAAATCACAGATTTCATAATCATTTCACGATCTTACTCTTGAGGTACACTAGCCCAAAGATGCATCTAAGAACCTTTCTTTAAAATATTAAAATTACTTTCCCTTCATTGTTGTGTAGTTCATGATTCTATGTTGTATGGGAGGGATGGAAAAACTAAAAACTTATTTAAAAAATATTAGTTTTCAAGATACTGCCCACTTCGCGAACATATATTCAATCCCAAATAGCTCTTGTTGGAGGTATTTATTAATACTAGTTCTTTGTAATTATATTATCTATAATAGAGCTTTATGATTTTTAATTTTTTTGTTTTGTGACGTCTAAAGAGAATTTCCTGTTCCATCCCTGTGACGAAGTAAAAAAGTAAATAAATAGTAACACCTTTAAGTGAGGAGTGGCAAATATAGTAGAATATAATATGTCTCTACACTATGAAGATAAACCAATAGTCGCAGGTATAATTTTCTGGAATCCTCTCAAATATTAAATTTGAAACGTAACTGGAGCTTTAATAATAAAGTATATAACAAAAAATATAATGTAGATATATTACACAATTATTATATAATATAAGTAAGGTTATCTATATTTTATTTTGATATGAATTTAGAAGTAAAAAATTAAACCTTATGTATAGACCAGATCAGGCTGAGGGAGGAGGAAAAGTAGGGTATGTGAATATATAGAATTAAAATATATTTTGGTTACTCACAATTAAAGCTAAGTTGGGGACTACAAGTATATCATCTTTACTTCCTTTAGAGTGACTTGGTTCGAACTTGTGCTTCCTGGTGTCACCATAAGTTACTTTTTTCCCATCTTCACTGAAGGTTACATTTTTCTTTTCTAATGTTTCCCTGCAAAAGAGATAAATCGCTTGTTATGGTGAATTTTTATTTTAAATATTGGTTGTTATTAGAAGATTCCAAAACAACTCATGTTGCTCGAATAGTAGGATGTAAAAAAAACTTAATGTTTTGCCAATTCAGGCAACATGAGCTCCGAAATAAACAAGATTAATACTATCTAGAGAATGCATATCACATTTCATCAGTACAAAAGACAGTATGTCTAACTTTATAAAGGTAAGTATATCACTTGGAAATTGGAATCCCTATTCCATGAAGGATTTATATTATGTTGTACAGAAATCGTGAAGAAGGAATGATTCAAAAATGATAGCTGCCTTACACTAGTGGATCCAGGATTTAATTTTGGGCAGAGATGAACTTCAGCTAAAAACTTTTTTTTTTCATGAATATAAGGATAATTGCTTTGGGGAAAAAAGAAGGAAACTAACTACCTATATGAAATAGTGTTTAAGTGATTCTTGAAGTCCTATTAAATGTAACTACATGAACAATAATACTTTAAGAGATAAATTTTAATATTTTTTTTTTCCATAATACATGGTTATATTTTACCATTGTGGGGGGAGAAGAGGGAGGCTTCAGCCTGAAAGACCCTGTTCCTCTCGGTAGATCCGCCTGTGCTGCCTTAACTTTTTTTTTTTTTGAAAGATCAAGATATTTTGGAAAAAATTAGTTACTCAGATAATCCAACATTTTGTTATCATTTATCCTTGAGCAATATCAAGAGGTTTTTTGAACAATTCCGGACGTTTTTAATTAAACCCATTGATAATCTTAAAAGATATTTCTGTATTTTATAACCATAAGGCCACAACCTTATCATTTATGTGTAAATATATGTAAAAAAAGAATAGATTGAAACGATGAAATAAATGCTCAATAATGTTAAAAAAAGCTGGTGAGGAGATGCGTGCGCAAAAATATCATGTTAGCTGGGCGAAGAATGCACTAACATTATAGAAATATAAGCTGGAGGAACAAAAACCTTTGACATCGAAAGTCAATAAGTATAGAGGAAGACAATAAGTCTAGAGAAAGATAATAAAAGAGATTTCATTTTCAGAAGAACAAAAGGGAACGGAAGCTACTCATTCGAGTATAGGTAAAGGCATCTTTCAAACCCAGGATGAAATTCTGTAAAAGGAAAGACAGAAATCCAGTCAAGATGGGTCTTACTGAATAAAAAAGATAAATACAAAGTAAAATACTCAATGCTTAATAACTTGCACCTCATATGATGACGTTCTGGAGGCTTTCCTGAATGTTAGCTATTACAAATCTCCAAGTGACGATAAAATTTCGGCTTTCTTAGAGCACTAAAGTGAGCAGCTCCATAAGCTCATTTATGACATTGTTGAATATTTGGGCTGTGAAACATAAGCCTGATCAGTTGAATTTGCTTCATTTACCAAAAAAAAGGGAATATTTTGAATTGCTATCGAGGCACAAAACCTACCCCAATGTGCACACTAAGTAAGGTCAAATGCATTATATTCAAACTAGGAAATAGGATAGTATAAGACGGGATTTAGAATTGATAAAATCGCGACAAATCAAATATTCAGTATACAGTATTTATTACAGGAGTCAACTGAATTCAGAATAATCTTTTTATTGTTTTTAAGATGGTGCATGGCATCAAGAAGTCAGAATTCTACGATACATTCCCAAAGCTCACGATCTTACGAAAACTGACATTTATCAACAAATTTTAAATTTATAATAGATGAACAGTCAAAGTTGGGACTATAATTCGACTTGACAAGAGGAATGAGACAACGAGATGCCTTAAGGAGAACGCTCGTTTGTCCGCTCCGCGCCTATCGAATCTATCCGGATTCCGCCTTTTTACTACAAATACGGGCTGAAGCCGAGGGCCGTACGGAATTCTCATTCTCGATATTTCTGTTTACAATCCCATAACTCCATTATTTTTCAACGGATTTCGTAATTTTTAACTTTATACTATCACTACTAAATATACTAAATTATCTATGTAACGAGGGTGTATTTGTTTATTAACCAAAAAAAAAATAAAATTTGCAATGGGAAAATTTTATTGACGGTATTGTAGAGTTAATGCATGCTATCTGGCAGCACTGTAGCTGTTGTAAACAAATGCAGGTTGGCTTGAGCGATGATATCCAGAGAGCAGTAGTCCTTTGTTCCTGATAGTGTGATGCTTATGTAGAGGAATAAAGATGTTTTGTGTATTTGTGGTATAAGGTTTTTTCAACAAAGCCTCATTTGTTTCCTGAAGTGATTTCCTGACATCACAGGCATCTTAGCGTCCCATCGCAGGATATGAATCAGCTCAGCATATGTATCTCTTGCCCATCGCCTACGTAATGATCGAGGGGGAGGGGCACTAGGGGTGTCTCGTGCATTTAAGAATTTATGTCAGTGGGTTCATGTTGTAAGTATGTATTTGATGAAAGTTATTGTAAGTTCTGAATTGTTGGGGTTTTAAGTCTTGATGTATTATTTAAATTACAACATAAAACGGTGCGTCAAATATCCTTCGCAACACTTTGGACTGAAAAGTCTGAATTTTCTTAATGTTTGAGGGTTTAGCAGAAACCCACAGTTATATACCATAAGTCCAAATGAAGGAGAAACCATATTGAAATTGGTTTTTCGTATCTGGAAAAAAATCGATATACCGATTTTTATAGCAATAAAAAAAAAAAAAAAAGCAGTGGCGTTCCTAGAAAGGAGTAGAGGGATCAGCCCACTTCGACTCTCACTTAATTAGTAGATCCAACGACATGGGTCTGCCCTTAATTGAATGATAACTTAGCCCAAACAATATCTTTTAATTAACCAGAGACTGATGATAGCTTATTATTATTCCTTAAAGAAGCACCTTAGTGAGTCCTCGATATATCGGCGGTTTCATTGTTTAATATACAAACATCTCATCAGGCTGTTGCTTTTGATTCGAAATAGGGAATTTAACAGCCAAAGATGAAAAAGAAATTATCTATTATTTACGAAGAGAAAAAACAGTGTTTGTACCCGTTAAGCAGTGAACCAATGATGAAGACGGCGGAACTGTGAAGTGGGTCTTTGGATGTTGAGTTGGGCCTCCCATATCTCCAGAATAACGGATAACCAATTTCTCAATAAAGCTGGACCATTCCAGGGGTAGCCCCAGACCAAGAATAAGGCTATGTACATAGGAATGAATGTGATTGATTGTAAAACAGTTGTGACAGAGCGATGCACTGAAGAATTATCGATGAAGATAATTAAATTATGAAGATAAAACTGTGGTCACAGTTTTCTGTAACGCAACGATAATAATTAATAGAAGATTTTAAACAATATTTATGGGATTTAGGATTCTGTGTCAAGCAAATAATAAGTAATAATAGAGATTTATAAACTTTAAAATGCTGTTTGAACTCAATAAGGTACCTGTAGCAGTAAGGCCCAACCTCTTCAATTTTAAGCTTTTTGTCTATCTTTTTCGCATATTCTTCAAAATTGGTGTAGTTGAAGACGTGTACGCATATCAGTGGCTTTACTGGAGGCTTCCTCCAGGCTTCGTATACGTCAGAGCCATCTCTGATCGTTAGTTGCTGAAAAATAAGAAATCATAAATTTATTGATGATGAAAAACAAGTAAAACTTATCAATAATATAAATTCCTTTCTCTTTGGCCGCTCAACGTCGGTTTTTAAGATTTAATTTAATTTTATTTATTGAACACGTCTAGGTAATTTATTTGTAGTTATTAATTTTATTTAGTTTTTCTATTTTTGGTCCACTTTTTTATTTACTTATCATTATTGTATAATTTGTTATCATAAAGCACAGGAGGATCTATTGGGGGAGGAGGAGGAGAGGAGGCTTGCGGGCCGAAGCTCCCCAAAATTGTAAAATATAACCATATTTTATGGAAGAAATTTTAAAAAATTACCTCTACAAGTATTATTGTTCGTGTAATTACAGTTAATCGGACTTCAAGAATCACGTAAGCACCATTTTATATAGGTAGTTAATTTAGTTCAAAGTAATAATCGTCATATATATATATATATATATAAAAGCTATCGGGCTGAAGCTCACCCAACCCCCCAAAAAAACATTAAATCCCGATTCTGTTAGTGTCAGAAAGTATGAATCAGGTTAAGAAGAGAGAGTGGAAAAAAAGAAAAAAAAATGTTTACTATGTATATATATATATATATATATATATATATATATATATATATATATATATATATATATATATATATATATATATATATATATTGATGATACTGTATATCTGTATATTAGTTTTAAGAATTATCCATTTTATCGATTGTTAAGTATGCTGTGTCTGTAGCAACTCAATATAATTGGGCATCATCCTTTTATGAAAATAATGTGATTCTCTCTGTGGATTGTAATCGAAAAATGACCCTGTTTACTTTTGATTTGTTGTAAACATTAATATATTAATAATATTAATTATTGCGTTTTTAATATTTCCTGTTTAGTGGTCCATTATCGATTCACACCCACATCTTTAATAGCTCTGTTAAAAAACATGGAGTTATTTTTAATTAATACCTGTCCTTGTTATCCCTAGAATAACTATATTACCATAAATTTCAGTTCTATGCGGGATTTTCTTAAAGTCAACATTTCTAAAACCGTTGGAAAGCTTTTTGCTTTTCCAAACTATATCAATAACTTTTAGATTTGTTGGCGTTCTTATTTTATAACTCCTGTTCTAATTTGTTTACTCTTAGTCTGGTTTGCGCCATTTCACTTAGTTTATTAGGCATTAAATCCTAAATCTAAATCCTTTTCTTTTCAAAATCTTATCTTTTATAAAAATTGAACTGACCATTTCCGATAGCGACAACAGGTTAAGTGATAATCGTTGGCATTTTATAACTAAATCACTTTTGGGTTTTAGTAATCTACCCAATTTTCAAGAATATCCTGAAGAAAAATTTAAATGGAGATTTAAACTGATTTGCTTAGATGATATTACAGTGTTATAACGAGAAACTATAAAGCTTCATAAACCCAAAATTCTACTTTCATAAGAGAATATCACGATTTTGAGCCAGATACAAAAATCTGGAATAACCTATAGAATCAGTAAATCAACCATATATCACCGTAGAACAATTAAACAATCACATACGTACAAATCCAGTAGATGCTGTTCAAAATTCAATTTGAATTTCTTAGGTATAACGACGCAATAATTTTTATTGAATACGTAAAAGTCAGATGAAACATAAGAAATGCTTCTCAAGTCGAAATTATTGATTAGCTTGTGAATATGGATGGAATAAAAGAATTACCCAATCTTAATTTTAAAGATGGCTGTTCGTCCTATCTGGTTAGATAAGACCTGCAAAGAAACAAAAACAGCCGACAATGAAATTTTAATTTGATAGTATTAGTCTTCTCTACGAATAAGAATGAATAACAATACAGAGAATAGACATGGGATTTCTAATGTTTTTTAATATTATGCAATTATTGAAGTGTACAAAAAATATACCTGAAAATTTATATGAAATAATATGTTTGTCTTTCCACGATCACACCAATCAGAAACAAATGTCTAAACTCAACAAATTTATTTTATTCATATTCATATATTTATATTTTTTTAAGAATTATTTTATTTTAAGATAGCTTAAGATTAAAAAAATCTTAAACATCAAAAAAAACTTAAACTATCTTTATTTTATAGCCGGGGAACAAATAAATACAACTCATCACAGGAGAAATGGCAACATATAGTAATAATTAGAACATATGGCGTGTAAAGGATTTCAATTGAAGGTTTGGACGAACCATCCAAAACAAAAAAGAAAAAAATCTGGTGTGTCCACTCACACGACTTTCTACCTATTTCAGAAAAGTTTTTATATTTTTACATATGTACATGAACAAACAAAAAAGAATTGAACTAAATTTATTTTCCTGAAAATTGATCAAACAAAAGATTTGAGTACGATTTATTTGATAAACTAAAGCAATGAAACCGACTTAGGATAGATCAGTGTAAAAATTTCAATACTCACTAATATATAGCCATAGCTTAGTATTGGCAAACAATAATTTCTGTTAAAAGTAGAGGAAATAGTGAAGATTGTGTGATGCGGGCAGATTTTCTTACTTTCACTTAGCTGTAACTTGTTAATAGTTGTCCAAAATAAACGATTTTTATATACGTTTGTAGGGAATTTCATTACCTTTCAAATGATATGCTTAACAGAGGAATGGTTAAAAATGTGACCATTTTTATTTTCTTTATAACTTTTTTTTCTGAATTTTCGGGAATTTAGTCTATATACGAAAATTGAAAGGACAATGATTAGAACATCATAAAAAAGTTTCATAAAAATCGTTAGTGCCGTTTTCGCGCTACAGTCTATAGAAAAACATGTTTTTCATTTATTACGCGCAAGCTATTGCGCATGGGGAAACGAATTTCTGTCACAGACATCAGTAGTCAAAATCCTCCAAAATAAAAAAAGAAGCAACAAAATCGGTTCAGTAGTTCCCGAGAAAATCTTGGCACAGACAGACAGACAGACAGACCAATGGCTAAAAATGTGTTTTTTCGGACTCAAGGGGCTGTGAAACGTATTGATCCGTCGAAAACCGCACGTCGGAAATTTGACCCGATTGCAATACTTTCGTTACCTAGTATAGCTAGGAAAGTAATAAATTAAAAAAATGTGTAAAAAATAGAATAAGCTGTATCATCGCTAATACTGGTTCGATTCCGATGATTTTTTTTGTTTTGTTGGTTATTTAAATACATTTCAAAAGTTTTATTATAAATTTTACCGTATAATATATACTTAGGGAGTTAGGCCCCATGACATCAAAATCGTTAGAGCCGTTTTCGCGCTACAGTCTATAGAAAAAAATGTTTTTCATTTATTCATTTATCTAGCTATTGCGCATGGAGAAACGAATTTCTGTCACAGACATCAGTAGTCAAAATCCTACAAAATAAAAAAAGAAGCAACAAAATCGGTTCAGTAGTTCCCGAGAAAATCTTGCCACAGACATACAGACAGACAGACCAATGGCTAAAAATGTGTTTTTCGGACTCAGGGGGCTCTGAAACGTCGAAAACCGCATGTCGGAAATTTGACCCGATTGCAATACTTTCCTTACCTAGTATAGGTAGGAAAGTAAAAAACATAATGTTAAAATGCAGCCTTATTCAAATCGTTAATAAGGATGAAGATTAAATTTTTGAATCTAAAATTCGTTCATAAAGTTATTTATTTTTTTTTTATAAAATGTATTAAGGTGTGGCATAAGTTTTTCCTTTTTTTTTTAATACGAAATCAATAGACAATATTTGTTGTTTCGGTTGGTTTACTATATTATATATGGACTGTTCTGCTCTATTACCTTATTCCAACTTTCAGGAAGTCTCATGTACTCACTCTTTACAAAATTGTCGAGACTTGTAAAATATTCATCGAGATGTGTTTTTATTTCGCTTTCCGATTTCTGACATTTATCACGGAGAGAACTTTTTAAAGGACAGTAATAATCGGATGGGGCAAGGTTTGGGGAGTAGGGAGGTTGAGGTAGAACGTCACAATCAAAGTGTAAGAGTGTCTTAGCAGAGATGGGCAAATACTATTGTGGGTACTGAGTACCAAGTATTTTATTCAAATTGAATCACTATTGAGAATTCGATAACTACTTAAGTTGATCGTTTGACATCGGCTGAAGTAGTAATTAAATTCTTTGGTACTAAAAAAAGGTCAGTATTTGAGTAAAATACTTGGTACTCAGTACTTAGAGTAGCATTTGCCCATCTCTCTGTAAGACTTCATCCGAAGAAAGTTCTGTTGTGGATTTGGTGGGACTGGAAAGGTGTAATGTACTACCAACCTCTTCCACATGGCACGGGCGGATCTACGGTGGGGAGGGGGCTTTCGGGCTGAAGCCCCCCTCCTCCCCCAAAATCGAAAAATATAACCATGTTTTACGGGAAAAAAAAATTTAAAAAATACCTCTTAAAGTATTATTGTTCGTGTAATTACATTTAAAAGTACTTAAGGAATAACTTAAACACCATTTCATATAGGTAGTTAGTTTCTTTCTTTTTTTCCAAAGTAATTATCGTTATTTTTATGAAAAAAAAAGGTTTTGGGCTGAAGCCCCCCCAAAATTAAATCCTGGATCCGCTAGTGCCACATGGTGAAATGATCAATTCTGCAAAATATTGTGCAATCAACTCGATAAATTGAAAGCCGCCATAACGGAAAAAGGGCCAGAATTGGCAAGCCAACGAAGTGTTGTTTTTCTTCACTACAACGCAAGACCGCATGTAGCGTTGGCCATAAGACAGAAATTTTAATCTGATTGGGACGTTCTACCTCATGCCACCTACTCCCCAGACCTTGTCCCATCCGATTATTACTTGTTTGTCTCATTAAAAAATTCTCTAAGTGGAAAATGTCACAAATCTGAAAGCAAAAGTAAGTCCCAAAAATTTTGGAGAGAGGGCATGATGAGGCTTCCTGGGAGATAGAAGTTGAACGAGCAGGCTAATGCGTGTAGAAAACACGCATGGACCGGCAACCTA